ATGTCACTGTGTATGTCACTGTGTATGTCACTGTGTATGTCACTGTGTATGCCACTGTGTTTGTCACTGTGTATGTCACTGTGTATGTCATAGTATGTCACTGTGTATGTCACAGTATGTCACTGTGTATGTCACAGTATGTCACTGTGTATATCACAGTATGTCACTGTGTATGTCACAGTATGTCACTGTGTATGCCACTGTGTATGTCACTGTGTATGTCACTGTGTATGCCACTGTGTATGTCACTGTGTATGTCACTGTGTATGTCACTGTGTATGTCACTGTGTATGTCACTGTGTATGCCACTGTGTATGTCACTGTGTATGTCACTGTGTATGCCACTGTGTATGTCACTGTGTATGTCACTGTGTATGCCACTGTGTATGTCACTGTGTATGTCACTGTGTATGTCACTGTGTATGTCACTGTGTATGCCACTGTGTATGTCAATGTGTATGTCACTGTGTATGCCACTGTGTATGTCACTGTGTATGTCACTGTGTATGTCACTGTGTATGCCACTGTGTATGTCACTGTGTATGTCACTGTGTATGTCACTGTGTATGCCACTGTGTATGTCACTGTGTATGTCACTGTGTATGTCACTGTGTATGTCACTGTGTATGCCACTGTGTATGTCACTGTGTATGCCACTGTGTATGTCACTGTGTATGTCACTGTGTATGTCACTGTGTATGCCACTGTGTATGTCACTGTGTATGTCACTGTGTATGTCACTGTGTTTGTTACTGTGTATGTCACTGTGTTTGTCACTGTGTATGTCACTGTGTATGTCACTGTGTATGTCACGGTGTATGCCACAGTATGTCACTGTGTATGTCACAGTATGCCACTGTGTATGTCACTGTGTATGTCACTGTGTATGCCACTGTGTATGTCACTGTGTATGTCACTGTGTATGTCACTGTGTATGCCACTGTGTATGTCACTGTGTATGTCACTGTGTATGCCACTGTGTAAGTCACTGTGTTTGTCACTGTGTATGCCACTGTGTATGTCACTGTGTATGTCACTGTGTATGTCACTGTGTATGTCACTGTGTATGCCACTGTGTATGTCACTGTGTATGTCACTGTGTATGCCACTGTGTAAGTCACTGTGTTTGTCACTGTGTATGTCACTGTGTATGTCACTGTGTATGCCACTGTGTATGTCACTGTGTATGTCACTGTGTATGTCACTGTGTTTGTCACTGTGTATGTCACTGTGTATGTCACTGTGTATGCCACTGTGTATGTCACTGTGTATGCCACTGTGTATGTCACTGTGTATGTCACTGTGTATGCCACTGTGTAAGTCACTGTGTTTGTCACTTTGTATGTCACTGTGTATGCCACAGTATGTCACTGTGTATGTCACTGTGTATGTCACTGTGTATGTCACTGTGTATGCCACTGTGTGTATGCCACTGTGTATGTCACTGTGTATGTCACTGTGTATCCCACTGTGTATGTCACTGTGTATGTCACTGTGTATGTCACTGTGTATGTCACTGTGTAAGTCACTGTGTTTGTCACTGTGTATGTCACTGTGTTTGTCACTGTGTATCCCACTGTGTATGTCACTGTGTATGTCACTGTGTATGTCACTGTGTATGTCACTGTGTGTACCACTGTGTATGTCACTGTGTATGCCACTGTGTATGTCACTGTGTTTGTCACTGTGTATCCCACTGTGTAAGTCACTGTGTTTGTCACTGTGTATGCCACAGTATGTCACTGTGTATGTCACTGTGTATGCCACTGTGGAAGTCACTGTGTTTGTCACTGTGTATGTCACTGTGTATGTCACGGTGTATGCCACTGTGTATGTCACTGTGTTTGTCACTGTGTATGTCACTGTGTAAGTCACTGTGTATGCCACTGTGTAAGTCACTGTGTTTGTCACTGTGTATGTCACTGTGTATGTCACTGTGTATGTCACTGTGTATGCCACTGTGTAAGTCACTGTGTTTGTCACTGTGTATTTCACTGTGTATGTCACGGTGTATGCCACTGTGTATGTCACTGTGTTTGTCACTGTGTATGTCACTGTGTATGTCACTGTGTATGCCACTGTGTATGTCACTGTGTTTGTCACTGTGTATCCCACTGTGTAAGTCACTGTGTTTGTCACTGTGTATGCCACAGTATGTCACTGTGTATGTCACTGTGTATGTCACTGTGTATGTCACTGTGTATGTCACTGTGTATGTCACTGTGTATCCCACTGTGTAAGTCACTGTGTTTGTCACTGTGTATGCCACAGTATGTCACTGTGTATGTCACTGTGTATGCCACTGTGTATGTCACTGTGTATGTCACTGTGTATGTCACTGTGTATGCCACAGTATGTCACTGTGTATGTCACTGTGTATGCCACTGTGTATGTCACGGTGTATACCACTATGTATGTCACTGTGTATGTCACGGTGTATATCACTGTGTTTGTCACTGTGTATGTCACTGTGTATGTCACGGTGTATACCACTATGTATGTCACTGTGTATGTCACTGTGTATGCCACTGTGTAAGTCACTGTGTTTGTCACTGTGTATGTCACTGTGTATGTCACGGTGTATGCCACTGTGTATGTCACTGTGTTTGTCACTGTGTATGTCACTGTGTATGTCACTGTGTATGCCACTGTGTAAGTCACTGTGTTTGTCACTGTGTATGTCACTGTGTATGTCACTGTGTATGTCACTGTGTATGCCACTGTGTAAGTCACTGTGTTTGTCACTGTGTATTTCACTGTGTATGTCACGGTGTATGCCACTGTGTATGTCACTGTGTTTGTCACTGTGTATGTCACTGTGTATGTCACTGTGTATGCCACTGTGTATGTCACTGTGTTTGTCACTGTGTATCCCACTGTGTAAGTCACTGTGTTTGTCACTGTGTATGCCACAGTATGTCACTGTGTATGTCACTGTGTATGTCACTGTGTATGTCACTGTGTATGTCACTGTGTATGTCACTGTGTATCCCACTGTGTAAGTCACTGTGTTTGTCACTGTGTATGCCACAGTATGTCACTGTGTATGTCACTGTGTATGTCACTGTGTATCCCACTGTGTATGTCACTGTGTATGTCACTGTGTATGTCACTGTGTATGTCACTGTGTAAGTCACTGTGTTTGTCACTGTGTATGTCACTGTGTTTGTCACTGTGTATCCCACTGTGTATGTCACTGTGTATGTCACTGTGTATGTCACTGTGTATGTCACTGTGTGTACCACTGTGTATGTCACTGTGTATGCCACTGTGTATGTCACTGTGTTTGTCACTGTGTATCCCACTGTGTAAGTCACTGTGTTTGTCACTGTGTATGCCACAGTATGTCACTGTGTATGTCACTGTGTATGCCACTGTGTAAGTCACTGTGTTTGTCACTGTGTATGTCACTGTGTATGTCACGGTGTATGCCACTGTGTATGTCACTGTGTTTGTCACTGTGTATGTCACTGTGTATGTCACTGTGTATGCCACTGTGTAAGTCACTGTGTTTGTCACTGTGTATGTCACTGTGTATGTCACTGTGTATGTCACTGTGTATGCCACTGTGTAAGTCACTGTGTTTGTCACTGTGTATTTCACTGTGTATGTCACGGTGTATGCCACTGTGTATGTCACTGTGTTTGTCACTGTGTATGTCACTGTGTATGTCACTGTGTATGCCACTGTGTATGTCACTGTGTTTGTCACTGTGTATCCCACTGTGTAAGTCACTGTGTTTGTCACTGTGTATGCCACAGTATGTCACTGTGTATGTCACTGTGTATGTCACTGTGTATGTCACTGTGTATGTCACTGTGTATCCCACTGTGTAAGTCACTGTGTTTGTCACTGTGTATGCCACAGTATGTCACTGTGTATGTCACTGTGTATGCCACTGTGTATGTCACTGTGTATGTCACTGTGTATGTCACTGTGTATGCCACAGTATGTCACTGTGTATGTCACTGTGTATGCCACTGTGTATGTCACGGTGTATACCACTATGTATGTCACTGTGTATGTCACGGTGTATATCACTGTGTTTGTCACTGTGTATGTCTTTGTGTATGTCACGGTGTATACCACTATGTATGTCACTGTGTATGTCACTGTGTATGCCACTGTGTAAGTCACTGTGTTTGTCACTGTGTATGTCACTGTGTATGTCACGGTGTATGCCACTGTGTATGTCACTGTGTTTGTCACTGTGTATGTCACTGTGTATGTCACTGTGTATGCCACTGTGTAAGTCACTGTGTTTGTCACTGTGTATGTCACTGTGTATGTCACTGTGTATGTCACTGTGTATGCCACTGTGTAAGTCACTGTGTTTGTCACTGTGTATTTCACTGTGTATGTCACGGTGTATGCCACTGTGTATGTCACTGTGTTTGTCACTGTGTATGTCACTGTGTATGTCACTGTGTATGCCACTGTGTATGTCACTGTGTTTGTCACTGTGTATCCCACTGTGTAAGTCACTGTGTTTGTCACTGTGTATGCCACAGTATGTCACTGTGTATGTCACTGTGTATGTCACTGTGTATGTCACTGTGTATGTCACTGTGTATGTCACTGTGTATCCCACTGTGTAAGTCACTGTGTTTGTCACTGTGTATGCCACAGTATGTCACTGTGTATGTCACTGTGTATGCCACTGTGTATGTCACTGTGTATGTCACTGTGTATGTCACTGTGTATGTCACTGTGTATGCCACAGTATGCCACTGTGTATGTCACTGTGTATGCCACTGTGTATGTCACGGTGTATACCACTATGTATGTCACTGTGTATGTCACGGTGTATATCACTGTGTTTGTCACTGTGTATGTCACTGTGTATGTCACGGTGTATACCACTATGTATGTCACTGTGTATGCCACTGTGTATGCCACAGTATGTCACTGTGTATGTCACTGTGTATGCCACTGTGTAAGTCACTGTGTTTGTCACTGTGTATGCCACTGTGTCTCACTTGGCATCTGACTGTGTCCAGGCTCCCAGCAGGTACAGGCCGTGTGTGGGAGGGCGGACACCGGGGCCAGGGTGGAGAGAAGCCGGTGTAGTGCAGAGGAGGAGCCTGACACCCAGCCCACACCCTGCCACCAGCAGCCCTGCCCACCCAGGTGCGTGAAGACATGGGTAGAACACGTGAAGACATGGGTAGAACACGTGCAGACATAGGTTGAACACGTGCAAACATGGGTAGAACGTGTGAAGACATGGGTAGAACACGTTAAGACATGGGTAGAACACGTGCAGACATGGGTAGAACACGTAAAGACATGGGTAGAACACGTGCAGACATGGGTAGAACACGTTAAGACATGGGTAGAACACGTTAAGACATGGGTAGAACACGTGAAGACATGAGTAGAACACGTGCAGACATGGGTAGAACACGTGCAGACATGGGTAGAACACGTGCAGACATGGGTAGAACACGTGCAGACAGGTTGAACACGTGCAAACATGGGTAGAACACGTGAAGACATGGGTAGAACGTGTGAAGACATGGGTAGAACACGTGAACACATGGGTAGAACACGTGAAGACATGGGCAGAACACGATAAGACATGGGTAGAACACGTGAAGACATGGGTAGAACACGTAAAGACATGGGTAGAACACGTGAAGACATGGGTAGAACACGTGAAGACATGGGTAGAACACGTGCAGACATGGATAGAACACGTGCAGACAGGTTGAACACGTGCAAACATAGGTAGAACACGTGAAGACATGGGTAGAACGTGTGAAGACATGGGTAGAATACGTGAAGACATGGGTAGAACACGTGCAGACAGGTTGAACACGTGCAAACATAGGTAGAACACGTGAAGACATGGGTAGAACGTGTGAAGACATGGGTAGAATACGTGAAGACATGTGTAGAACACGTGAAGATATGGGTAGAACACGTAAAGACATGGGTAGAACACGTGAAGACATGGGTAGAACACGTAAAGACATGGTTGGAACACGTGCAGACATAGGTTGAACACGTGAGTGAAGACATGGGTAGAACACGTGAAGACATGGGTAGAACACGTGCAGACATAGGTAGAACACGTGCAAACATGGGTAGAACACGTAAAGATACGGGTAGAACACGTTAAGACATGGGTAGAACACGTGCAGACATGGGTAGAACACGTGAAGACATGGGTAGAACACGTGAAGACATGGGTAGAACACGTGAAGACATGGGTAGAATACGTGAAGACATGAGTAGAACACGTGAAGACGTGGGTAGAACAAGTGAAGACATGGGTAGAACACGTGAAGATACGAGTAGAACACTTCCTCCTACCAGATCCACGACACAATAGATCGAATTACGACCCCTGTAGTGTTACACATACGATACCTTGCAAGGTGTATCGGTGTACAATGATGTGAATAACAACATGAACTGTCCAACCACCAGCTTATTCTCCAGCATGTCATGGTTGGACATACCCTCTACCGTCATGTGTCTGTCCTACAATATTCCATCTTTGATCTCGGAAATTTAATAACACATCTGTACTTTTCTCAGAAAGTGTTATCCCAAATATAACATTATCACGTTTGACCACTTTCTAAAAGGCATTGTTTGTTCATAGCTTCCGGTCATGGGAACCGTGTCTGTTTACACTTGTCAGAGGGGTACTCTAGGGGGGATCTATATAGCTAGACTACCAATTGTCGGACTTTCATTTTGTTGAATCCTCGGTGGCAGAGTGGGTTAGATCGCTGACTTAGTATGCTGGCGATTAGGTGCCTCGCTCTGGCAGTGTGGGTTCGAATCCCGGACCTTTACTCAGAAAGTGTTATTCCAAGTATAACATTTGTTACCTCTGTTATTGTTACATTGCCACGCCGCTCTGTAGTCAAAGTTATATAAAGTTGACGGAAAGATTGTCCAAGTGACAGAGAAGTGCTGAACGTCCTTTACTTTACCTTTATGATCAGGAGTAGGTCGTCCAGCCTTTGATGCTGATGATGATGACTTGGAGATTTTACATGCGCTTCCCGACATAATGCGTATTTCGCACACGGGCCCGCCAGGCTATTTAGAGTGATTTGTCAAAGGAGGAAGGAGGGGTCAGGGAGGCGGGTTGTGCGTGTAGGGTTGGTAATTTAAATTTTGAAGAATTTGGAATTATCCTTTGTTAAGCCTTGGTCTGTTTGATGCAGGTGGCACACGGGCGTGTTCACCCCCTGCTCCCGGTCGTGTGGCGGGGGACTGGCGTCTAGGACTGTCCAGTGCATGCAACACCAGGCTGGTCAGTCCGAGGTGGTTGAAGATGACCAGTGTGACCCTGCCAGCAGACCGCTGGCTACCCAAACGTGTGGCTCCCAGCCTTGCCCCGGCGCCTGGAGGACGGACCCCTGGACCGACGTAAGTCGGGGAGGGAGCTGGAATGTTTTCAATGATATAAATCTGTCATAAGTTTAGATGCCTATCACCTTTTGGGGAAACACGGTATTATGTCTGATTCTGATAAAACTGGAATCTGACCCACGAGTAGCTTTCCTTTGACGCAGGTCTCAGAACAGTGTGTGTTAAACGTGTTCTCAAACAACGTGCTCAGCGCATCATGCGGCTACAACAAGGTTGTTACGCCTTCCCAACATTCCTCCCAAGAGAACGTTTTTTGAACAAATATTTCCATGACAACAATTATGCATGTAATGTTCCTGAAGGAAGTTGTTTGTGTTTTCAGTGTTCCCAGACCTGTGGGGTGGGGGTGAGGAGAAGGGGGGTGCGGTGTTTCCTGACCCCACACACCGAGGTGCCCGATGACAACTGTGAGCTGTCAGACAAGCCGGATGTCAATGAGCCCTGCAAGAAGGCAGCATGCTTCATTCCTCCAGGTACACACACACACACACACACACACACACACACACACACACACACACACCACACACACACACCACACACACACACACACACACACACACACACACACACACACACACACACCACACACACACACACCACACACACACAAACACACACACACACACACACACACACACACACACACACACACACACACACACACACACACACACACACCACACACACACACACCACACACACACACACACACACACCACACACACACACACACACTCACATACACTCACACACACACACACACACACACACACACACACACACACACACACACACACACACCTGAAGGCCTTCATGTTACTCCACACGACTCATGTATATGGCGTATGTTGACAACCCCGAACGCTAAAGTAATAATGTAACATCCATTTGACTTACTTACTTAATTAATTAAATTTGGAATTTAGCGTGCGCTTTCCGACATATTCGCGCACGGACCCGCCAGGCCATTTAGTGATTGGTTGAAAAGGTGAGGAAACCTAGGGCTTTTCGGGGGCTGCTTACTTAATTTGGAGAACAAATTTGGAATTTTGAAATATGTCATACAGAAGGTGGAGTTTTTCTGAGGGTGTGTGACTGTGTTTTTTTCCTAGATTTAGAATTTTAGGGTTATGGACAGCTTTTTTGTTGTACTGTTTTAGATGCGGCCGGGTAGGCCTCTTTTGATTAGATAGATGCATAATGCCTAATAGGTTTGTAAGTCATTTGGGAGGGTTAGTAGCGTTGCTAGTGTCATTTGATTGTTGCAGGTTAGTGTGGATTGGAGTGTTGTTCTGTGTTGCTGGTAATTTACGCAATATAATATTACGTGTTCAGGAGTTTCAGTGGGGGCATTTACCGGTTTGGTGTTTCTTTTTTAATTTGGTGTAGGTGTTTATCTTAGTTTGACCTGTTTGTAATGGTTATCACTCTGTCAAATTCTTTTGGTTTTATTATGGATTTGTTTTTTTAGTGGTTTTTTTAGCAGGTGTTATAGTTTGCAATCAGATGTCTGATTGTCATTTTGCCACTTTTGGAAGATTTCGTTTTTTGATATTGGTTGGTTGATGCTTACTTCTTCTAATTTTAGTGCTGCTTTGAACATTACAATCTATATTTAACCTATCATCAACATAACGCCATTACACCAATGACCAAATATATGATGGATGAATTTGTCTGTCAATAATTGTGTATCTGCAGTCTCCCCCTGTGCCGACAACATCTCCGCCGACTGCCAGGAGTACGACAGAAGGGTGTGTTCCAGGTACAGAGAGTGGGCCCAGCATCACTGCCCCTTGTTCTGCTCCCTGTGTTCCCAGACTGACAACGTGGGGAGACGTCATCGGGAGGGGGGTCAGGAAGGTGCTGCAAAGGAACAGAGGACAGATCTGGGGGGTGGCAAAGCAGGGGGCCAGGAAGACGGTGGGAAGGGCGGGGCAGAGGGGGGCAGGTCAGGTGGACAAATAGGAAGGCAGGAAGATGAGGAGGAGAGGAACACATCGGAAGAGACGGGGGGTGAGGATGGGGGCCAGATAGAGCAACAAGAAGATGTAACAGGTGGGCAGGGAGCACGGCAGGGGGAGGATCAAGATGTCACAGACCAGAGGAGTCAAGTGGGAGATGGGGAGGGCACAGGAGATGAGGATGGGGAGGACAGGAAAGGAGTGGTGGGTGGGCATGAGCGTGCTGCTGAAACTGTTTCCTACAGTTCTCACCCAGATGTCAGGCGTGGGTATGACACCACAGATCTTGTCATAAGTGATGACGTCACACAAGGAGAGAATGATGTCACACAAGGAAAGGATGGCGCCACACAAGGACAGGATGATGTCACACAGGGAGAGTTTGATGTCACACACGGAGAGGATGGCGCCACACAAGGACAGGATGATGTCACACAAGGAAAGGATGGCGCCACACAAGGACAGGATGATGTCACACAGGGAGAGTTTGATGTCACACACGGAGAGGAGGTTACACAAGCAAAGGATGACGTGAAACAAGGAGAGGATGACGTCACACAAGGAACTGAGTATGGCGTCACACAAGGAGGAGCGAATGACTTTACAGAAGGAGAGGATGACGTCACACAAGGAGAGGATGACGTCACACGAGGTGGGAATGGTATCACACAACTAGGAGCGGGTGACGAGGATATTAGCGAAGATTCTGATGATAAAGGACGAATGTTGAAGGACCAAGATTGTGTCGATGTTTTGAATAGCTGCCGACAGTACAGTCAGAGAGACTGCAGGCAGTTTCCGGACTGGGCCAAACAGAACTGCCAGAGGCACTGTAACTACTGCGATGACGACTACGTAACAACAACGTCATCCACAACCAGTGAGGATTTGGACTGCAGCGACGTGAACACGCAGTGTGTGGAGTATCCAGACAGTGTGTGTGAGGAGTACGAATCTTGGGCAAGAACCAACTGTAAACGTCGGTGTCACTTCTGTCAACAGGACCTAGGGCAGGTGGCGGGTGAGTTGGACAGGGCTAGCGATAGATGTGGTTAAGGGGGTGGATATAGATGTGAGTGAGGTGGATGTAGATGTGAGTGAAGGGTGGATATAGATGTGAGTGAGGGTGGATATAGATGTGAGTGAGGGTGGATATAGATGTGAGTGAAAGGTGGATATAGATGTAAGTGAGAGTGGATGTAGATGTGAGTGAAGGGTGGATATAGATGTGAGTGAGGTGGATGTAGATGTGAGTGAAGGGTGGATATAGATGTGATTGAGGGTGGATATAGATGTGAGTGAAAGGTGGATATAGATGTAAGTGAGAGTGGATGTAGATGTGAGTGAAGGGTGGATATAGATGTGAGTGAGGTGGATGTAGATGTGAGTGAAGGGTGGATATAGATGTGAGTGAGGGTGGATATAGATGTGAGTGAAAGGTGGATATAGATGTAAGTGAGAGTGGATGTAGATGTGAGTGAAGGGTGGATATAGATGTGAGTGAGGTGGATGTAGATGTGAGTGAAGGGTGGATATAGATGTGAGTGAGGGTGGATATAGATGTGAGTGTGGGTGGATATAGATGTGACTGAGGGTGGAAATAGATGTGAGTGAGGATGGATATAAATGTGAGTGAGGGTGGATATAGATGTGAGTGAGGGTGGATATAGATGTGAGAGGGTGGATATAGATGTGAGTGAGGGTGGATATAGATTTTTGAGTGAGGGTGGATATAGATGTGAGTGAGGGTGGATATAGATGTGAGTATGCGTGGGATGGGCGTCAGCAGATGAGTTTAAAGTACAGGTTCGGTAAGTTAAGGTTAGATTTTTACTGCAGTGATTGTGCTAGGTGTAGTTGTGCCTGACTGCGTGCGTGTGTTATAAGCTTGTTTTTCTACTGTATATAGGTTTGACAAATATTGCCTCCGGTGCCTTTCAGCCACTGTGACTCCGCCTTGCGTGGACGCGTCCATTGAATGTATCGACTATCACCAGTCCGTGTGTGCCCTGTACAAAGACTGGGCAGAGATCAACTGCCGGAAGTTCTGTCACGTCTGTACATAGGTGCGTGCTCCACGTCTGTATGTCTGTATGTCCGTGTGTCTCGTGCAGCCATGTTTGTGTCTTGTGTTGTCCGTGTGTCTCGTGCAGCCATGTTTGTGTCTTGTGTTGTCCGTGTGCCTCGTGCAGCCATGTTTGTGTCTTGTGTTGTCCTTGTGTCTCGTGCAGCCATGTTTGTGTCTTGTGTTGTCCGTGTGCCTCGTGCAGCCATGTTTGTGTCTTGGTGTCTTGTGTTGTCCGTGTGTCTCGTGCAGCCATGTTTGTGTCTTGTGTTGTCCGTGTGCCTCGTGCAGCCATGTTTGTGTCTTGTGTTGTCCGTGTGCCTCGTGCAGCCATGTTTGTGTCTTGTGTTGTCCGTGTGCCTCTTGCAGCCATGGTTGTGTCTTGGTGTCTTGTGTTGTCCGTGTGTCTTGTGCAGCCATGTTTGTGTGTTGTGTTGTCCGTGTGTCTCGTGCAGCAATGTTTGTGTCTTGTGTTGTCCGTGTGCCTCGTGCAGCCATGTTTGTGTCTTGTGTTGTCCGTGTGCCTCGTGCAGCCATGTTTGTGTCTTGGTGTCTTGTGTTGTCCGTGTGTCTCGTGCAGCCATGTTTGTGTCTTGTGTTGTCCGTGTGTCTCGTGCAGCCCTGGTAGTGTCTTGGTGTCTTGTGTTGTCCGTGTGCCTCGTGCAGCCATGTTTGTGTCTTGTGTTGTCCGTGTGTCTCGTGCAGCCATGTTTGTGTCTTGTGTTGTCCGTGTATCTCGTGCAGCCATGTTTGTGTCTTGGTGTCTTGTGTTGTCCGTGTGCCTCGTGCAGCCATGTTTGTGTCTTGTGTTGTCCGTGTGTCTCGTGCAGCCATGTTTGTGTCTTGTGTTGTCCGTGTATCTCGTGCAGCCATGTTTGTGTCTTGTGTTGTCGGTGTGTCTCGTGCAGCCCTGTTTGTGTCTTGTGTAGAAAGGAGTAGGTGTTTTTTGCCTGCCGTGTCTGTCAGATTTCTTTAAATTAATCTGTGTTCGTACTCATAGACGTAGTTCTGACTCCTTACACGCGACATGCTGTCGGTCATTGATGTCATATGTCGAGCTTCACCTCGAAACACGTTCACAACACGCACAGCCACGTGAAGATCCGGGTTAAAATTGGCCTTCAGCAACCTATGCCTGTCGTAAGAGGCGACTGTGATTGTCTTGAGAGGCGACTAATGGGTCTCGCTGACTTGTTTGACGCATATCATTGTATTCCAGCTGTGTAGATTGATGCTCATGGTATCGACCACTGTCTGCTCCAATCTTGATTATTTGCAGACCACCGTCATATAGATGGAATGTTGCGTTAAACAACAAACGTTTCTTCTTATATTTCAGAACCAACGACTCCCAACTGATGGAGCAGACACGCGAACAACTGCACAGATGCTGCTGCTTCCCGGGCGGACGTCTGTGAGGCCATATTTTGACCAATCCAATTTAAATCAGATCTTTTACTCGGATGAGATATGTCTCTCCCTGACAATGTGACATTCCTTCCAATCACCTCATCAGCATCGGGGCTTCTAAAGTCTCGTACATGAACGAAAAGGGCAGTTCCGAATTGAATGTAATAAAGATGGCGGTATATACTCTGTTGTGAATACTTTATACCCTCCTGTTACTGGGCGCCATTGCACCTAACCCAAACCCGGTGTACTATGGAGGGGACACTATGTCCCGTCTGGCTTCTCTGTTAAAGATCGAAATTTCCGAATCCAGGTGGTGAAGCAATGGAAGGGAATCGTTTTAGAACACTGGCATGTGATTGGCTCAAAAACCCACCAATACTTTATTTAAAATGGGAGGTCAAAGTTCGCTCAGGATTCATCTGACACGACCTCCTATTGAAGGGTTGTCACGTGTTGTCACGTTTTGAAACAGTGATATATCTGACACTCTCTTATATGCGCAGTGGGCAGTAACGACATCACTCTCAAATGACACATGTTTAATTAAGAATAAATCGTGGTTTGCAAAACGTGTCTACGATGAATCATATGGACAGCTGCATGTATTAAACCACATAACACATACCGATGGCATCTACTGACTACGCTACACATTGGTATACACTTTCATAAAGACGGAACCAGTGCTGGTCGGCCATGATCAGACCGGTCACTGCTCGAGTCTATTCCAGGCAGGTTTGCGAGGAGTACACTTACAGCCTTCCTGTCACAACGCTTCGGTGTAGAGCTTGGATAAATGACTAAACTGTTTAACTGAATTGTTATAAGAAGTTCACATGTTGTCTGTGATGGTGTACAGGGCCCTGAAGCCACGGCCGGCGCCCGAGTCGTCGGAGTGGAACACCAGTTTAACATGGGGGCTGGTGGACTCCCAGATGAACCGATCCGTCACGCTACAGTACGTCTCGTGCCCGCCCCCACCAAGGTCGTACACCTGCAGACAAAACAACACAAGTAGTACACATGCAGACAAAACAACACACGTCGTACACCTGCAGACAAAACAACACACGTCGTACACATGTTAACATAACACATCTTTGAGATGCATCTAGAAGTGATACACATAAGGAAGAGAATTTATGGGTGACAACTTCTTTATTTTGAGGAACACAACGTTTCTGTCTACCAACAACTAATGGCGACAAGAAAACTACAGGAAGCCATTGAGATCTGGAGACACTATCTGCCCAGTGCTTGGGACTTATTGCTTTGATCTTTGTCGGTGATAATTATCCAGCTGGCCTCCATGTGCCCATTGTCATTTCCATCTTTGTTATCTTATTACTTCTGTTGTTCTTAAATGTACATATATATGTTCTCTGCCTCATAGCATGTATTCACCTGATGAAGGAGTATACTCAGAATCGTTGTGTTCCTCACAATAAAGAAGTTGACATTCATAAATTCTCTTCCTTAAAACAACACACGTCTGACACCTGCAGATAGCTTGTCCAGTTTTGTTTTGAACACCAAGTCCAGCTATCATGTATATAACAGAACAACTTGAGTCAACTAGTCACTGATATTCTCAGTATCTGCGCGTCATGGTGACACAGAGTGATAACTTACTGAAATATTCACTATCAATGCGTTGTTGTGACATGAAGCGTTAACTGAAATATTCACTATCAATGCGTTGTTGTGACATGGAGCGTTAACTGAAATATTCACTATCAATGCGTTGTTGTGACATGAAGCGTTAACTGAAATATTCACTATCAATGCGTTGTTGTGACATGAAGCGTTAACTGAAATATTCGCTATCAATGCGTTGTTGTGACATGGAGCATTAACTGAAATATTCACTATCAATTCGTTGGTGTGACATGAAGCGTTAACTGAAATATTCACTATCAATGCGTTGTGACATGGAGCGTTAACTGAAATATTCACTATCAATGCGTTGTTGTGACATTGAGCGTTAACTGAAATATTCACTATCAATGCGTTGTTGTGACATGGAGCGTTAACTGAAATATTCACTATCAATGCGTTGTGACATGAAGCGTTAACTGAAATATTCACTATCAATGCGTTGTTGTGACATGGAGCGTTAACTGAAATATTCACTATCAATTCGTTGGTGTGACATGAAGCGTTAACTGAAATATTCACTATCAATTCGTTGTGACATGGAGCGTTAACTGAAATATTCACTATCAATGCGTTGTTGTGACATGGAGCGTTAACTGAAATATTCACTATCAATGCGTTGTTGTGACATGGAGCGTTAACTGAAATATTCGCTATCAATGCGTTGTGACATGAAGCGTTAACTGAAATATTCACTATCAATGCGTTGTTGTGACATGGAGCGTTAACTGAAATATTCACTATCAATTCGTTGGTGTGACATGAAGCGTTAACTGAAATATTCACTATCAATGCGTTGTGACATGGAGCATTACTGAAATATTCACTATCAATTCGTTGGTGTGACATGAAGCGTTCACTGAAATATTCACTATCAATGCGTTGTGACATGGAGCGTTAACTGAAATATTCACTATCAATGCGTTGTTGTGACATGGAGCGTTCACTGAAATATTCACTATCAATTCGTTTGTGTGACATAAAGCGTTAACTGAAATATTCACTATCAATTCGCTGGTGTGACATGAAGCGTTAACTGAAATATTCACTATCAATGCGTTGTGACATGGAGCGTTAACTGAAATATTCACTATCAATGCGTTGTTGTGACATGAAGCGTTAACTGAAATATTCACTATCAATTCGTTGATGTGACATGAAGCGTTAACTGAAATATTCACTATCAATGCGTTGTTGTGACATGGAGCGTTAACTGAAATATTCACTATCAATGCGTTGTTGTGACATGAAGTGTTAACTGAAATATTCACTATCAATGCGTTGTGACATGGAGCGTTAACTGAAATATTCACTATCAATGCGTTGTTGTGACATGAAGCGTTAACTGAAATATTCACTATCAATGCGTTGTTGTGACATGGAGCGTTAACTGAAATATTCGCTGTCAATGCGTTGTTGTGACATGAAGCATTAACTGAAATATTCACTATCAATGCGTTGTTGTGACATGGAGCGTTAACTGAAATATTCATTATCAATGCGTTGTTGTGACATGAAGCGTTAACTGAAATATTCACTATCAATGCGTTGTTGTGACATGAAGCGTTAACTGAAATATTCACTATCAATGCGTTGTTGTGACATGAAGCGTTAACTGAAATATTCACTATCAATGCGTTGTGACATGAAGCGTTAACTGAAATATTCACTATCAATGCGTTGTTGTGACATGAAGCGTTAACTGAAATATTCACTATCAATGCGTTGTTGTGACATGAAGCGTTAACTGAAATATTCACTATCAATGCGTTGTTGTGACATGGGGCGTTAACTGAAATATTCTCTATCAATGTGCTGTTGTGACATTGGGCGTTAACTTACTGGTATACTCACAATCAGCGAGGCATGGTTACACAGGGCATTTACTTATTGACATTGTCACTGATGACGCGTCATTGTGACACAGGGCGTTTACTTATTGACAGGTTCACTGATGATGCGTCATGGTGACACAGGGCGTTTACTTATTGACATGTTCACTTGTGATGCGTCATGGTGACACAGGACGTTTACTTATTGACATGTTCACTTGTGATGCGTTATGGTGACACAGGACGTTTACTTATTGACAGGTTCATGTTTACTTATTGACATGATGGGATGAAATAGCCTTGATCTCTGTTGATTGATGGCTTGTGGCGGCGAATGTGCACTGCTTCTGTTAGTTTTCTTTAAGTGAAATCATTGAGGTTGTTGGAAGGAATTGGACGTTGTCGTAGTTGGTGTTGTGATGAGGATAGTTTCTGATATGGTCCGAGATGGCCGATTTACTGTCTGATTTGATGGATGAGGTTTTGTGCCCTTTGATACTGGTGTTGATGGGGCGGGGTCTTTCACCTACGTAAGATCGTCCACCGTTGCAGTCAGTTTTGTAAATTACACCTTTAGGCTCTTGGGGTTTGGTTGTGTTCCAACTAAAACTTACCGAAGCAGTCCACATTCGCCGCCACAAGACATCAATCAACAGAGATCATGGCTTTTTCATCCAATCATGTCAATAAGTAAACATGAACCTGTCAATAAGTAATAAGTTACTTGTTGACATAGTCACTGATGATGCGTCATGGTGACACAGGACGCATACGTGTTGACATAGTCACTGATGATGCGTCATGGTGACACAGGGCGTTTACTTGTTGACATAATCACTGATGATGCGTCATGGTGACACAGGGCGTTTACTTGTTGACATATAGTCACTGATGCGTCATAGTGACACAGGGCGTTTACTTGTTGACATAGTCACTGATGATGCGTCATAGTGACACAGGTCGTTTACTTGTTGACATAGTCACTGATGATGCGTCATGGTGACACAGGTCGTTTACTTGTTGACATAGTCACTGATGATGCGTCATGGTGACACAAGACGTATACTTGTTGACATAGTCACTGATGATGCGTCATGGTGACACAGGGCGTTTACTTGTTGAAATAGTCACTGATGATGCGTCATAGTGACACAGGTCGTTTACTTGTTGACATAGTCACTGATGATGCGTCATGGTGACACAGGACGTATACTTGTTGACATAGTCACTGATGATGCGTCATAGTGACACAGGTCGTTTACTTGTTGACAGTTAATGATGATGCGTCATAGTGACACAGGGCGTATACTTTTTGATATATTCAGTGATGATGCGTCATGGTGACACGGCGTTTACTTATTGATATATTCAGTGATGATGCGTCATGGTGACACGGCGTTTACTTATTGATATATTCAGTGATGATGCGTCATAGTGACACAGGACGTTTACTTATTGATATATTCACTGATGATGCGTCAAAGTGACACAGGACGTTTACTTATTGATATATTCAGTGATGAAGGGTCATGTTGACTCATTTTGTTAACCAACTAATAAACTCACCGTCAGTGAGTCATGCTGACACGAGTCGTCACCCTGTTGAAGTTCCACACGGTCAAATGCGATCTGGATCTTCTGGTCTGTCTCCCCGGTGATGTAGATGATGCAGTGGGAGTTAGGCGGGTACTCATCCGGGTACCCAGGGCTGGTGATGGTACCCGAGGTATCGGTCAGCTGCTGGCTGCAACCTGTCACAGACATTAAAAACTTTATCCGCATCACTTGAACAACTTTACCCACATCACCTGAACAACTTTACCCACATCACCTGAACAATGTTACCCACATCACCTGAACAACTTTACCAGCATCACCTGAACAATCTTACCCACATCACCTGAACAACTTTACCCACATCACTTGAACAACTTTATCCGCATCACTTGAACAACTTTACCCACATCACCTGAACAATCTTACCCACATCACCTGAACAACTTTACCCACATCACCTGAACAACTTTACCCACATCACCTGAACAATCTTACCCACATCACCTGAACAACTTTACCCACATCACCTGAACAGCTTTACCAGCATCACCTGAACAGCTTTACCCACATCACCTGCACAGCTTTACCCACATCACCTGAACGATCTTACCCACATCACCTGAACAATCTTACCCACATCACCTGAACAGCTTTACCCACATCACCTGAACAATCTTACCCACATCACCTGAACAATCTTACCCACATCACCTGAACAATGTTACCCACATCACCTGAACAACTTTACCCACATCACCTGAACAATCTTACCCACATCACCTGAACAGCTTTACCCACATCACCTGAACAACTTTACCCACATCACCTGAACAATCTTACCCACATCACCTGAACAGCTTTACCCACATCACCTGAACAATTTAGCCGCATCACCTGAACAACTTTCCCCACAAAGGAAGCAGAAAGAAGACAGTGGTCACTGAGCACATCCTAGCTTGTCACAGCTCACTCACTGGTGTAGGGCGTGTCTCCGGGGATGCTGTGGTAGCTGATTCTGGCGCCATCGCGTTGTTTGGCGATGTAGAAGTCGAGGATGACGATGCTTCCCTCGGACGTCCACCCTTTGTCTTTATTGTTTCCACAGAGCCGGTATGTGTTGGCCACGCCCACTTCTCTGAGGGACAGGCGATCACCTTCAGTGCACAAGCAGGTACTTAACAGACTGACGTTATATTGCGCATGTCTTTAGAGGTGCAGTCTATATTATACACGCACGCACACGCACACGCACGCACACGCACACACACACGCACAAGCACACGTACACGCACATATACATATTTGTGTATGTGTATAGTCAGGCTCACTGACTTGGTTGATGCATGTCATCATATCTCAAAGGCATGGATCGATGCTCGTGATGTCAATCATTGGATTGTCTGGTCCAAACACAATTATTTACACACCTCCGCCATATAGCTGGAATACTGTAACAACAACAAACAAACAAACAAAACAGACATTCCTAAAACAATGTAACAGTATGAGAGTTGTGATGGTCTTAGCGGTGAGATCACTCTGTCCAAGTGGACCCTGATGGATGTATTGACGTGGTCCATACCTTTGCTACATTTCATGTCCATGTCCTCCACGTCCAGCTTGATCCTGGTCCCGAGGGGGGTCACTATGGTCAACGTGCACTGTGTGCTCTCTTGCAGCCTCCCCATGACGTCTATGACGCCATCGCTCCCCGTGACGACGCGGTTACACAGCTGAGGGACTGCTTCATCTGCTGAACCTGGGAACACGCCGACAACACAGGCTCACACAGATGAGGACATGTCCAGGCCAAAATAATGTTATTTTATGTTATTCTTCCGGGCCATATACGACCGCCTCCGTGGTCTGGAGTAGAGCGTCCGCCCGGAGAGCGGAAGGTCCGGGGTTCGATCCCCGGATGGGTCATACCAAAAGACGTTATAATACGGGACTTGTTGTTACCCTGCCCGGCGCTTGGCATTAAGGGGCTAAAACAAGGACTAGTCGTCTCGGAGTGAGTACACTGTGTCTGAGTTGGGTATTCATGTTAAACAGCGCCATGGTATCTCAGTGTGCTAGCACTATAAATCGCCATCAGCCCGGACAAGTACAAGCAGCCACACACACACACACACACACACACACACACACACACACACACACACACACACACACACACACACACACACACACACGAGCATGCACGTCGCTATACAAGTGTAATCACATATATAAGAATTCCTATTTCTGAACGGCAAAGCAATGATACAAGTACAAGGAAAGGTTATTTTGAGCCCATACATCCTCGGATGTTCGAAGTGACACGAAAGAGTTTCCAAAGGCATTGAAAAAGTAATATGCTGGGGTGGACCTTTGTCTCAGCAGTCTATATTCTCGCATTCAACACTGTGATGAGCGGCTTCTTAAGCATTTCTCACTGAACAACTTTCCAGCAGGTGCAACTCCATCATAGAACAAGACGGATGTACGGAGCTGGTTTTGTGTCACGGAACCATTAAATGAGCAAACATTGACCATTGGTTTGTGGAGATGCTAGCACGGTAGCATTCTGTTTAAATCAAATCATCTTTAACATAACAGCAACTTAGCAGCAACTGGAGGAGTCCCATTCAACAGTTTCAACCAGAAGCACGAGTGTCCTCCAAAATCTCTTTACTCACGTCTCGTCCTGTCAGCAAACATTACTGTACTCACGTCTCGTCCTGGCAGCAAACGTCACTGTACTCACGTCTCGTCCTGACAGCAAGCATCACTGTACTCACGTCTCGTCCTGACAGCAAGCGTCACTGTACTCACGTCTCGTCCTGGCAGCAAACGTCACTGTACTCACGTCTCGTCCTGGCAGCAAGCGTCACTGTACTCACGTCTCGTCCTGACAGCAAACGTTACTGTACTCACGTCTCGTCCTGGCAGCAAACGTCACTGTACTCACGTCTCGTCCTAGCACCAAACGCCACTGTACTCACGTGTGGCCCTGGCAGCAACATCGCCTCTGTACTCACGTGTGGCCCTAGCAGCAACATCGCCTCTGTACTCACGTCTCATCCTGGCAGCAAACGTCACTGTACTCACGTCTCGTCCTGGCAGCAAACGTCACTGTACTCACGAGTGGCCCTTGCAGCAACATCGCCTCTGTACTCACGTCTCGTCTTCGTGGTTCCACAGAGCCGGCAGTACTTCCGGCAGTTGTCCCCGGCCCACACCCGATAGTCCGAGCAGACCTGTTGTCCATACCCAGCACAGTTGTCCAGGTGGTCAGCGCACGGGGAGACTGCACCACACAGACAACATGGGGTCTACATGAACTGGACAGACTGGCCACAGCGCGATGTACTCAAGACAACGCCAGGAAAGTGTTTAGAAGGTAAACTATGTATCCTGTTAACTGAATCTGTTACAATAGAGAAGTATATTGGATATAATCTTTGCCACAGAATGTTTCGCCCGCCAGGTGTCATTGAAATAGGCCCACTTTTTGGATGTCATTGAAGCAGATCCGTCACCAAAAGACATACAAACAGACCCACCACCGGATGTCATTGAAGCAGAACCGTCACCGAAGGACATACAAACAGACCAACAACCGGGTGTCATTGAAGCAGAACCGTCACCGAAGGACATACAAACAGACCCACAACCGGGTGTCATTGAAGCAGAACCGTCACCGAAGGACATACAAACAGACCAACAACCGGGTGTCATTGAAGCAGAACCGTCACCGAAGGACATACAAACAGACCCACAACCGGATGTCATTGAAGCAGATCCGTCACCAGGTGTCAAAGAAATAGACCCATCACAGAAAGTCATAGAAACAGATCCCCACCGGGGATCATAGAAACAGACCCATCACCGAAAGTCATAGAATAATCTTAGAAGAAGACCTACCACCAGGTGTCATGGAGACGTTAATAAGAGACCTACAACCTTCTCAGTGAAGATCGATGAGATCAGACCAACCCTCGGGTGTCACAGAAACCGATCCACTACCGAATGGCATAGAAATATCTTAGAAGAAGATCTACCACCGGCTGTCATGGAAACACGCGGAAGAGACCCACCACCATCTCAGTGAAGAATGATAAGACCAGACCCATCACCGGGTGTCATGAATGGATGATATTATGACAGGAACCAGCCAACGGGTGTCATGGGTGGATGATATTATGACAGGAACCAGCCACCGGGTGCCATGGGTGGATGATATTATGACAGGAACCAGCCAACGGGTGTCATGGGTGGATGATATAATGACAGGAACCAGCCACCGGGTGTCATGGGTGGATGATATTATGACAGGAACCAGCCACCGGGTGTCATTGGTGGATGATGTAATGACAGGAACCAGCCAACGGGTGTCATGAATGGATGATATTATGACAGGAACCAGCCACCGGGTGTCATGAATGGATGACATTATGACAGGAACCAGCCACCGGGTGTCATGAATGGATGATATTATAACAGGAACCAGCCACCGGGTGTCATGAATGGATGGTATTATGACAGGAACCAGCCACCGGGTATCATGAATTGATGGTATTATGACAGGAACCAGCCACCGGGTGTCATGAATGGATGATATTATGACAGGAACCAGCCACCGGGTATCATGAATTGATGGTATTATGACAGGAACCAGCCACCGGGTGTCATGAATGGATGATATTATGACAGGAACCAGCCACCGGGTGTCATGATTGGATGATGTTATGACAGAAACCAGCCACCGGGTGTCATGAATGGATGATATTATAACAGGAACCAGCCATCAGGTGTCATGAATGGATGATATTATGACAGGAATAAGCCTACGGGTGTCCTTTAAACTGTGAGTCAATGACCTACCGTCCGTTGGCATGGTGTCCGCGCACAGACCACAGAAGCGGGGACAGTGCTGCCACGCCCAGTTGGTGTATTTGTTGCACACGTCAGTGCCGTAGCCGGAGCAGTCAGTGTTGTCCATGCAGGAGGAGGCAGCATGCGTCGTTCCTATATGATGAGGAACATATACTTAGTAAGATACAAAGCTGATGTTTACTTTTGAACAGGAACAAAATTAATTAGGTTACATAGAAATTGAAAGGCAAAGACGAATCCAACAATAATATCACATTGGATATATTTGTTGGGGGCGCTGGGGTGTTTTTGAAGAACTAATGTGATCCAGAAGTAACACGAAAGAACTAATGTGATCCAGAAGTAACATGACAGAAATAATTTGATCCAGAAGTAACATGACAGAAGTAATTTGATCCAGAAGTAACATGACAGAAGTAATTTGATCCAGAAGTAACATGACAGAAGTAATTTGATCTAGAAGTAACATGACAGAACTAATTTCATATAGAAGTAACATGACAAAACTAATTTGATCCAGAATTAACATGACAGAACTAATTGATCCAGAAGTAACATGACAGAACTAATTTGATCTAGAAGTAACATGACAAAACTAATTTGATCCAGAAGGAACATGGCAGAACTAATTTGATCCAGAAGTAACATGACAGAAGTAATTTGATCCAGAAGTAACATGACAGAAGTAATTTGATCCAGAAGTAACATGACAGAACTAATGTGATCCAGAAGTAACATGGCAGAACTAATGTGATCCAGAAGTAACATGACAGAACTAATTTGATCCAGAAGTAACATGACAGAACTAATGTGATCCAGAAGTAACATGGCAGAACTAATTTGATCCAGAAGTAACATGACAGAAGTAATTTGATCCAGAAGTAACATGACAGAACTAATGTGATCCAGAAGTAACATGGCAGAACTAATGTGATCCAGAAGTAACATGACAAAACTAATTTGATCCAGAAGGAACATGGCAGAACTAATTTGATCCAGAAGTAACATGACAGAAGTAATTTGATCCAGAAGTAACATGACAGAAGTAATTTGATCCAGAAGTAACATGACAGAACTAATGTGATCCAGAAGTAACATGGCAGAACTAATGTGATCCAGAAGTAACATGACAGAACTAATTTGATCCAGAAGTAACATGACAGAACTAATGTGATCCAGAAGTAACATGGCAGAACTAATTTGATCCAGAAGTAACATGACAGAAGTAATTTGATCCAGAAGTAACATGACAGAAGTAATGTGATCCAGAAGTAACATGGCAGAACTAATGTGATCCAGAAGTAACATGACAGAACTAATTGATCTAGAAGTAACATGACAGAACTAATGTGATCCAGAAGTAACATGGCAGAACTAATTTGATCCAGAAGTAACATGGCAGAACTAATTTGATCCAGAAGTAACAAGGCAGAACTAATTTGATCCAGAAGTAACATGACAGAACTAATTTCATCTAGAAGTAACATGGCAAAACTAATTTGATCTAGAAGTAACATGACAAAACTAATTTGATCCAGAAGTAACATGGCAGAACTAATTTGATCCAGAAGTAACATGACAGAACTAATTTGATCCAGAAGGAACATGACAGAACTAATTTGATCTAGAAGTAACAGGACAAAACTTATTTCATCTAGAATTAACATGACAAAACTAATTGATCCAGAAGTAACATAACAGAACTAATTTCATCTAGAAGTAACATGACAAAACTAATTTGATCCAGAAGTAACATGACAGAACTAATGTGATCCAGAAGTAACATGGCAGAACTAATGTGATCCAGAAGTAACATGACAGAAATAATTTGATCCAGAAGTAACATGGCAAAACTAATTTGATCCAGAAGTAACATGGCAAAACTAATTTGATCTAGAAGTAACATGACAAAACTAATTTGATCTAGAAGTAACATGACAGAACTTATTTGATCTAGAAGTAACATGACAAATCTAATTCGATCCAGAATTAACATTAAAGAACTAATTTGATCCAGAAGTAACATGACAGACCTTATTTGATCTAGAAGTAACATGACAGAACTAATTTGATCCAGAAGTAACATGACAGAAGTAATTTGATCCAGAAGTAACATGACAGACCTAATTTGATCCAGAAGTAACATGACAGACCTAATTTGATCCAGAAGTAACATGACAGACCTAATTTGATCCAGAAGTAACATGACAGACCTAATTTGATCCAGAAGTAACATGACAGACCTAATTTGATCCAGAAGTAACATGACAGAAGTAATTTGATCCAGAAGTAACATGACAGAAGTAATTTGATCCAGAAGTAACATGGCAGAACTAATAATCTGCCCTCAGGTTTCACCAAACAAAGGCAGCCACAGGGCTATGTAGCTCACCTGATTATGAAGATATGATGGCGGTCATGGTCTTGGTTAGATTGGAGCTCTGTGAGCAACGTTTAGAGGCAACATAGCTGGGGTCAAAATATGACTGAAAAAGAATGATATGCTATTCTGCTTTTCACAGACCTGCTGCATATCAAATGTCACAATCAGAAACGGCCGTGTAATAGGCAAAATTGACATTTTGAGTTTGGCCACCAAGTCGGGTCGGAATTCTGTGATCAAATTTTAGAAACACCATAACTGGGATTATTCATATAAAGTTTCAGGTCTTCAGTGCTTCTAATTTCAGAGATGTCAAAAATGGAAAACTTAACCATGGACGGACAGACAGAAAACGGACGACGAGCAACGACATCAGCTCGCTTGACTTTCTGTCAGGTGAGCTACAACTGAATTCACTGCAGGACATGGATGCAGAAACAAATGTTTTTCACGGAAGAAAATGTCGAGTTTTGAAACTGGTAAATTTTAATTCTCAAACAATATGCCACACTATCCTCATCATTTTATATGTGGGTCCCTAATTGTTAGTCTGACCTTGACCCCCGCAGAAATCGCAGTACTTGGGGCAGTTGGTGACGGCCCACGGTCGGTAGTCGGTGCACACTCTCTCACCATACATCGCGCACGTCAACGTGTCTGCGCAGGCGCCGTCTGTAGACGACCATGTTTCCGGTGTAGTCTGGGTTCTGCCTGTACACGCAGGAGGAAGGTATTCACTTGGTATACGTAAGTGAAACAGCGGGTGAGTTTACTTAGCTTTTCGAATTATCATAATCATATCACGGAAGGGACACCAAGACATTCACACATTTGCACAAATGAGGCGTCAAACCCGGACCTTTACCGCGAGGGACAACAGCTGTAACCACAATGCTACCTCACTTCACACAAAGATTTCAACAAGCCTGAAATATAAATATTATCTAACTCCTAAACAGGCTGTCAATGAGACGTCTTTACCACAGGTGATTTTGTTTGTTTTGTTTGTTTGTTGTTTCACGCTGCACTCAGCAATATTCCAGCTATATGACTGTCGTATGTAAATAATCGAGTCTGGACCAGACAATCCAGTAACTGTCATCCTGAGCATCGATCTACGCAATTGGGATACGATGACATGCATTAACCACGTCAGCGATCCTGATCACCCGATCCCGTTAGTCGCCTCCTACGACATCCATAGTCGCCACTTGCGGCACGCATGGGTTGCTGAAGACCTATTCTACCCCGGATCTTCATGGTTGTGGGTGGGGAGACAGACATGGCGTACTCGCCTCGGGATCAGCTGACAGGTTGTCTGTACGTTGACTTAATTCACACTGAACATTTGTTTTACCCACCATCCTGTGAAGTACTTGACCCTGACCTGCTTGACATTGGCTTGACGGAAGATGACGATTCTGAAGTTCCTGCCTCTGACGTCGCGGACTCTGACGTCGCGGAGTCTGACGTCGTGGAAGCTGTAGCGTCAACACCACAGAACCGGCAGAACCGCGGACAGTGCGTCTTGGACCACGTGACGTATCCGGTGCAGACACTCCGGCCAAACGCCAGACAGTTCTCCGTGTCCACGCACAAGGCGGATACGGTGGCCGCACTGGAGGTGCTGGAACCTGACAGAGATGTGCAATTACAGACTACAGACTACAGATTACAGACAACAGACACAAGACCACAGACTACAACCTACAAATAGCCTTGCTCCAAGGCTAAGTCTATGGTTGTGTAATAATTCTATGCTTATTGACAAGTCTAGATAAGGGCTCCAGTCTCTTATAGGGACAATTTGTTCTTATTATTGACATAATCTGGAACTTATGATGCAAACTAATGATTATACCTAGAAACTTGTGCACTTGAAACTTTAGTCTAACGTACAAACAACGATAGGGCTGCAGAGTGTTTGAGTAATGTGTCGCAGTGAAGAACGGTGTGATGGTGTGGTTCGTACAATTCAGCTCTGATGAAGGCCAGACGGCCGAGGATCATGTTTGAAGATAAGTGAGTGAGTGATTAAGTATGGTTTTACGCCGCTTTCAGCAATATTCCAGCAATATCACGGCGGGGGACACCATAAATGGGCTTCACACCTTGTACCCAAGAGGGGAATCGAAACCGGGTCTTCGGCGTGACGAGCGAACGCTTTAACCACTAGGCTACCCCAACCGCCCCTTGCAGAAAAGAACTACGACTATCATGTATACGGTACGTAAGCCGGGACAGTGTCACTGGTGGGGGATTGGGAGGATTGGAATGTGGCGGTGAATGACACGTGACAATGTGACGTGATAACGTGGGTTATGAAGTGACGTATTACGGCTGGTTTATCAACACTGCGACTGTCAGGCCAGTGGCCTGTGACTTAAGTACACTGTCTGGGTAGCAACCTTCACAACTCTACCTTAAGGCACATATCTACCTGTGCACAGGTTACAGAAGTGCGGACAGTTGTGCGCTGACCAGTCTTGATACTCCGTGCAAATCTCCTTCCCGTACCCAGAGCAGTCGTCAGTCTTGTCGACACACGTGGGGTCAGAGGTCGTAGAGGCAACATGGCTGACACCAGTACTGACGACCGACCCGAAGCAGAACCCGCAGAACTTCCTGCAGTTGACGCGACTCCAGTCCTCGTACTCGCTGCAGATGTTGCTGGCGTAGGTGGAACAATCCTTAACATCCTCGCAGACACCGTTACAGATGCCGCAGAACTTACGGCAGTTGGTCTGAGGACAAACACGTCATCATCAGTTCACGAAACACTGCATCAGCAGCGACTCCTAAGATGATACCATGGACTGAGTCTTGATACCATGGACTGCGTCTTGATACCATGTACTGAGTCATGATACCATGTACTGAGTCTTGATACCATGTACAGAGTCTTGATACCATGTACTGAGTCTTGATACCATGGACTGAGTCTTGATACCATGTACTGAGTCTTGATACCATGTACTGAGTCTTGATACCATGTACTGAGTCTTGATACCATGTACTGAGTCTTGATACCATGTACTGAGTCTTGATACCATGGACTGCGTCTTGATACCATGGACTGCGTCTTGATACCATGGACTGAGTCTTGATACCATGTACTGAGACATGATACCATGTACTGAGTCTTGATACCATGGACTGAGTCTTGATACCATGTACTGAGTCTTGATACCATGTACTGAGTCTTGATACCATGTACTGAGTCATGATACCATGTACTGAGTCTTGATACCATGGACTGAGTCATGATACCATGTACTGAGTCTTGATACCATGGACTGAGTCTTGATACCATGCACTGAGTCTTGTACTGAGTCTTGATACCATGGACTGAGTCTTGATACCATGTAATGAGTCTTGTACTGAGTCTTGATACCATGGACTGAGTCTTGATACCATGCACTGAGTCTTGATACCATGTACTGAGTCTTGATACCATGTACTGGGTCTTGATACCATGTACTGAGTCTTGATACCATGCACTGAGTCTTGTACTGAGTCTTGATACCATGTACTGAGTCTTGATACCATGCACTGAGTCTTGTACTGAGTCTTGATACCATGGACTGAGTCTTGTACTGAGTCTTGTACTGAGTCTTGATACCATGCACTGAGTCTTGTACTGAGTCTTGATACCATGTACTGAGTCTTGATACCATGTACTGAGTCTTGATACCATGGACTGAGTCTTGTACTGAGTCTTGATACCATGTACTGAGTCTTGATACCATGTACTGAGTCATGATACCATGTACTGAGTCTTGATACCATGTACTGAGTCTTGATACCATGTACTGGGTCTTGATACCATGTACTGGGTCATGATACCATGGACTGAGTCTTGATACCATGCCCTGAGTCTTGATACCATGGACTGAGTCTTGATACCATGTACTGAGTCTTGATACCATGTACTGAGTCTTGATACCATGCCCTGAGTCTTGATACCATGTACTGAGTCTTGATACCATGTACTGAGTCTTGATACCATGGACTGAGTCTTGATACCATGGACTGAGTCTTGATACCATGTACTGAGTCATGATACCATGGACTGAGTCTTGATACCATGGACTGAGTCTTGATACCATGCACTGAGTCTTGTACTGAGTCTTGATACCATGGACTGAGTCTTGATACCATGGACTGAGTCTTGATACCATGCACTGAGTCTTGTACTGAGTCTTGATACCATGGACTGAGTCTTGATACCATGGACTGAGTCTTGTACTGAGTCTTGATACCATGGACTGAGTCTTGATACCATGCACTGAGTCTTGATACCATGTACTGAGTCTTGATACCATGTACTGAGTCTTGATACCATGCCCTGAGTCTTGATACCGTGTACTAAGTCTTGATACCATGTACTGAGTCTTGATACCGTGTACTGAGTCTTGATACCATGTACTGAGTCTTGATACCATGGACTGAGTCTTGATACTATGTACTGAGTCTTGATACCGTGTACTGAGTCTTGATACCATGTACTGAGTCATGATACCATGGACTGAGTCTTGATACCGTGTACTGAGTCTTGATACCATGTACTGAGTCTTGATACCATGGACTGAGTCTTGATACTATGTACTGAGTCTTGATACCGTGTACTGAGTCTTGATACCATGTACTGAGTCATGATACCATGGACTGAGTCTTGATACCATGCCCTGAGTCTTGATACCATGGACTGAGTCTTGATACCATGTACTGAGTCTTGATACCATGGACTGAGTCATGATACCATGGACTGAGTCTTGATACCATGCCCTGCGTCTTGATACCATGTACTGAGTCTTGATACCATGGACTGAGTCTTGATACCATGGACTGAGTCTTGATACCATGCCCTGAGTCTTGATACCATGGACTGAGTCTTGATACCATGGACTGAGTCTTGATACCATGTACTGAGTCTTGTACTGAGTCTTGATACCATGGACTGAGTCTTGATACCATGTACTGAGACATGATACCATGTACTGAGTCTTGTACTGAGTCTTGATACCATGGACTGAGTCTTGATACCATGTACTGAGACATGATACCATGTACTGAGTCTTGATACCATGTACTGAGTCTTGATACCATGTACTGAGTCTTGATACCATGTACTGAGTCTTGATACCATGGACTGAGTCTTGATACCATGTACTGAGTCTTGATACCATGTACTGAGTCTTGATACCATGTACTGAGTCTTGATACCATGGACTGAGTCTTGATACCATGTACTGAGTCTTGATACCATGTACTGAGTCTTGAAACCCATGGACTGAGTCTTGATACCATGTACTGAGTCTTGATACCATGTACTGAGTCTTGATACCATGTACTGAGTCTTGATACCATGGACTGAGTCTTGATACCATGTACTGAGTCTTGATACCATGGACTGCGTCTTGATACTATGTACTGAGTCTTGTACTGAGTCTTGATACCATGGACTGAGTCTTGATACCATGTACTGAGTCTTGTACTGAGTCTTGATACCATGTACTGAGTCTTGTACTGAGTCTTGATACCATGGACTGCGTCTTGATACCATGTACTGAGTCTTGTACTGAGTCTTGATACCATGTACTGAGTCTTGATACCATGGACTGAGTCTTGATACCATGGACTGAGTCTTGATACCATGTACTGAGTCTTGATACCATGTACTGAGTCATGATACCATGTACTGAGTCTTGATACCATGGACTGAGTCTTGATACCATGTACTGAGTCTTGATACCATGTACTGAGTCTTGATACCATGGACTGCGTCTTGATACTATGTACTGAGTCTTGTACTGAGTCTTGATACCATGGACTGAGTCTTGATACCATGGACTGAGTCTTGTACTGAGTCTTGATACCATGTACTGAGTCTTGTACTGAGTCTTGATACCATGGACTGCGTCTAGATACCATGGACTGAGTCTTGTACTGAGTCTTGATACCATGGACTGAGTCTTGATACCATGTACTGAGTCTTGATACCATGGACTGAGTCTTGATACCATGTACTGAGTCTTGATACCATGGACTGAGTCTTGATACCATGGACTGAGTCTTGATACCATGCCCTTAGTCTTGATACCATGGACTGAGTCTTGATACCATGGACTGAGTCTTGATACCATGCCCTGAGTCTTGATACCATGTACTGAGTCTTGATACCATGGACTGAGTCTTGATACCATGGACTGAGTCTTGATACCATGTACTGAGTCTTGATACCATGCCCTGAGTCTTGATACCATGGACTGAGTCTTGATACCATGTACTGAGTCTTGATACCATGCCCTGAGTCTTGATACCATGCACTGAGTCTTGATACCATGCCCTGAGTCTTGATACCATGTACTGAGTCTTGATGCCATGGACTGAGTCTTGATACTATGTACTGAGTCTTGATACCATGTACTGAGTCTTGATACCATGTACTGAGTCTTGATACCATGGACTGAGTCTTGATACCATGTACTGAGTCTTGATACCATGTACTGAGTCTTGATACCATGTACTGAGTCATGATACCATGTACTGAGTCTTGATACCATGGACTGAGTCTTGATACCATGGACTGAGTCTTGATACCATGTACTGAGTCTTGATACCATGGACTGCGTCTTGATACTATGTACTGAGTCTTGTACTGAGTCTTGATACCATGGACTGAGTCTTGATACCATGTACTGAGTCTTGTACTGAGTCTTGATACCATGTACTGAGTCTTGTACTGAGTCTTGATACCATGGACTGCGTCTTGATACCATGTACTGAGTCTTGTACTGAGTCTTGATACCATGGACTGAGTCTTGATACCATGTACTGAGTCTTGATACCATGGACTGAGTCTTGATACCATGTACTGAGTCTTGATACCATGGACTGAGTCTTGATACCATGTACTGAGTCTTGATACCATGCCCTGAGTCTTGATACCATGGACTGAGTCTTGATACCATGTACTGAGTCTTGATACCATGCCCTGAGTCTTGATACCATGTACTGAGTCTTGATACCATGCCCTGAGTCTTGATACCATGTACTGAGTCTTGATACCATGGACTGAGTCTTGATACTATGTACTGAGTCTTGATACCATGTACTGAGTCTTGATACTATGTACTGAGTCTTGATACCATGTACTGAGTCTTGATACCATGTACTGAGTCTTGTACTGAGTCTTGTTACCATGGACTGAGTCTTGATACCATGTACTGAGTCTTGATACCATGGACTGAGTCTTGATACCATGTACTGAGTCTTGATACCATGCCCTGAGTCTTGATACCATGTACTGAGTCTTGATACCATGTACTGAGTCTTGATACCATGGACTGCGTCTTGATACCATGTACTGAGTCTTGTACTGAGTCTTGATACCATGGACTGCGTCTTGATACCATGTACTGAGTCTTGTACTGAGTCTTGATACCATGGACTGCGTCTTGATACCATGCACTGAGTCTTGATACCATGTACTGAGTCTTGATACCATGGACTGAGTCTTGATACCATGTACTGAGTCTTGATACCATGTACTGAGTCTTGTACTGAGTCTTGATACCATGGACTGCGTCTTGATACCATGTACTGAGTCTTGTACTGAGTCTTGATACCATGGACTGCGTCTTGATACCATGTACTGAGTCTTGTACTGAGTCTTGATACCATGGACTGAGTCTTGATACCATGTACTGAGTCTTGATACCATGGACTGAGTCTTGATACCATGTACTGAGTCTTGATACCATGGACTGAGTGTTGTACTGAGTCTTGTACTGAGTCTTGATACCATGCCCTGAGTCATGATACCATGTACTGAGTCTTGATACCATGTACTGAGTCTTGTACTGAGTCTTGATACCATGGACTGAGTCTTGATACCATGGACTGAGTCATGATACCATGTACTGAGTCTTGATACCATGTACTGAGTCTTGTACTGAGTCTTGATACCATGGACTGAGTCTTGATACCATGTACTGAGTCTTGATACCATGTACTGAGTCATGATACCATGGACTGCGTCTTGATACCATGGACTGAGTCTTGATACCATGGACTGAGTCTTGTACTGAGTCTTGATACCATGTACTGAGTCTTGATACCATGTACTGAGTCTTGTACTGAGTCTTGATACCATGGACTGAGTCTTGTACTGAGTCTTGATACCATGTACTGAGTCTTGATACCATGTACTGAGTCTTGTACTGAGTCTTGATACCATGGACTGAGTCTTGTACTGAGTCTTGATACCATGTACTGAGTCTTGATACCATGTACTGAGTCTTGTACTGAGTCTTGATACCATGGACTGAGTCTTGTACTGAGTCTTGATACCATGTACTGAGTCTTGATACCATGTACTGAGTCATGATACCATGTACTGAGTCTTGATACCATGGACTGAGTCTTGATACCATGTACTGAGTCATGATACCATGTACTGAGTCATGATACCATGGACTGAGTCTTGATACCATGTACTGAGTCATGATACCATGTACTGAGTCTTGATACCATGGACTGAGTCTTGATACCATGGACTGAGTCTTGATACCATGTACTGAGTCTTGATACTAAGGCTAAACTAACCCCTGCTAACATCATGCCTATCTCCCCGCGACCTACCTTACTCCACTCCTGGTACAATCGACACACGTTGCTGCCATACGTCACACAGTCAACAGCGTCGTCGCAGTCGAGGTTGCCAGTGATGGTGTTGTTCCCTGTCAACAAAAGCGCGAAATATGAAACCCGTGTCTATGGCGCAATACAGTGACTGAGTGGGTGTCCCCTGGCTACAATGGATTAAGGCTGTGTTCTGGACATCGATATCTGCGCAGGTCCGCACGTGGGCATTATAAGCTCCGAGTTACCAGTGTTTGCCGGAAGAGGCGACGAGACAGATCGGCGGTTTGGTAGAAAACCAGTCATCGTATTCCGACGGTGTGGATCTTTGCTCTTAATATCAATCACTGGATTGTCTGCTCCAATCCCGATTGTGTACAGGCCACCATCATAAGGCCCGACTATTATTGTGGCGTTAACCAACAACAAAACAAAGCGCCCTGATCACTTCGACTGTATGCTCGTAACCCTCGTAACCCACCAGCCTACTGGCTTGTAATTGGCGACAGTTAAGCAGAATGTCCATCCGACTCCTCCGAAATTGTTTTTTGTTATTTAATGTGTTTTTTATTATTGTTCTTGTTACCATGGTCACAGGTCTTGGAGCAGAAGCCACAGTAGGCAGCACAGTTGGTCATGGCCCAGGACTCGTAAGCGTGGCAGACGTACGTCCCATAAGCCACGCAGTTGGTGGGGTCGTTGCAGGCGCTGCCACAGTCTGCGGAGATGTAAAGTCACGTTACTGACAGTGTGGGTACATGACAGAAGGGGGAGGTGAGGTGAGACGATCCAGGGTGTAACGGTGCGTTCAAGATTAGAGCATGTTTATAGCGAGGCATGTACGTGTGTGTGTGTATGTGTGCGAGTGTTTGTGTGTGTGTGTGTGTGTGTGTGTGTGTGTGTGTGTGTGTGTGTGTGTGTGTGTGTGTGCGTGCGCGCGCGTGCGTGTGTGTGTGTGTGCGTGTGTGTGTGCGTGCGTGAACGAGTGTGCGTGTGTGTGCGCGCGCGTGTGTGTGCGAGTGTGTGTGTGCGCGTTTGTGTGTGTGTGTGTGCGAGTGTGTGTGCGTGTGTGTGTGCGCGAGTGTGTGTGTGTGTGTGCGCGTGTTTGTGTGTGCGCGCGCGTGCGAGTGTGTGTGTGCGTGTGTGCGCGTGTTTGTGTGTGTGTGCGAGCGTTTGTGTGTGCGTGTGCGTATGTGCACGTGTTTGTGTGTGCGCGCTCGCGCTGGGCTACTGTCCACTACACCAAGGTGGCAGTCAGGAGAGGAAGAGTCACGTGGGATGAGGTTACCAGTTGCAACCCACGTTTTAAAACCTCTTGAAGCCAGGGAAATTCACGGAAATGAAACCCAAAATTGAATATGTTAGGAACCTACTGCTTCCTCCAGAACACACCACGTCCATGCATTCCTGGTGTTGTGTTGGTTTCTGCACGGGGAGACAGAGGCTGGATGCAACCTCTGTCAGAGACTCGGCATCTTTGTAACAGGAAATCTCCCGCTTCTGAACGCCACGCCCACACGTCCTGGAGCACTGGAACCACACAATAAGTAATGCCCTGTCACTACAACGTGTAGCAGGAACGTATGGCGACGTATGAGATTTTTACCAAAAACGCCGACGTTCGCTGAAACACGCTATGGATAAGTTAGGTGTAAGTTGTATACATACATTACAAGCACGCTGGTATACGTTGTTGTACATTTTTGTGCATGCACAAAATTTTCGGCGTATGGGAACTTATGTTAGGCATACGTTAGAGGTACGCTCTACATACGTTTACATACGCCAGATTTACGTTACCAATACGCTGATCTACGTCGACATAAGTTGGCTGAAGGTGTACTGTACACCTAACGTATTCATAACGTATGCGTATCTTACTTCTAACGTATGTATAACGTATACATCCAAAGTATGTGGCGTATAAGACGTATGTCTGACGACAAACTAACTCATTAAACGTGTTTCTAACGTTGAGCCAGCGCATTTGTACCGTAGTACGAGCGTTTGGGGGTTTCTGTCTATATTAGGTCCCGGTCAGTACCTCCTCGTGACTTCTGATGGAGACATCATAGAGGTGAGGTGAGGTGAAATGGGGTTTAACGTCGCGTCCAAGATTATTGCACTCATATAGCGACGTGCATGCACGTGTGTGTGTGTGTGTGTGTGTGTGTGTGTGTGTGTGTGTGTGTGTGTGTGTGTGTACTAGACCGGACTGATGCCGATTTATAGTGCTAGCCGACTGAGATACCATACCGCAGTTTAACATGAATACCCCACACACGGCCGGGGATCGAACCCCGGAACTTCCGCTCTCCGGGCGGACGCTCTACCACTAGACCACTAGACCACTAGACCACATTACTGTACAGACTTCTGACATTACTACTGACTGTACTGTACTACTGACGCACACTTGACCAGGATCCGGGTCTCCACACGCCCGGGCACGACTCAGAATTACACTCGCTGGCCTCCGGCGGTTTGACGAGTCTGCCACAGTGGCTGTTGGCCAAGACCTCCACCACCCCGGACGTCTCGCGGACACACTGCAGCGTCCGCCTCATTAGACCACCGCCACACGTGAGGGAACACGCGGAGTACGCACCGGTCTTCCACCTGGAAACATGACGGGGGTTGTTGTAGTGGTCACTGGTGTAGTTGCTGTAGTGGTCACTGGTGTAGTTGCTGTAGTCGTCAATAATGTAGTTGTTGTAGTCGTCAATGATGTAGTTGTTGTAGTGGTCACTGGTGTAGTTGCTGTAGTCGTCAATGATGTAGTTGTTGTAGTCGTCAATGATGTAGTTGTTGTAGTGGTCACTGGTGTAGTTGCTGTAGTCGTCAATGATGTAGTTGTTGTAGTCGTCAATGATGTAGTTGTTGTAGTCGTCAATGATGTAGTTGTTGTAGTCGTCAATGATGTAGTTGTTGTAGTGGTCACTGGTGTAGTTGTTGTAGTCGTCAATGATGTAGTTGTTGTAGTCGTCAATGATGTAGTTGTTGTAGTCGTCAATGATGTATTTGTTGTAGTGGTCACTGGTGTAGTTGTTGTAGTCGTCAATGATGTAGTTGGTGTAGTCGTCAATGATGTAGTTGTTGTAGTCGTCAATGATGCATTTAGTGTAGTCGTCAATGATGTAGTTGTTGTGGTGGTCAATGATTGGGAGGCTGTTGTGGTGGTCAATGATGGGGAGGTTGTTGTCGTGGTCAATGATATTGTCGTTGTGGTGGTCAATGATGGGGAGGTTGTTGTGGTGGTCAATGACGTAGTTGTTGTAGTGGTCAATGATGGGGAGATTGTTGTTGTAGTGGTCAATGATGGTGTAGTTTTGATGTCTCACCTAGCCGGACAGGGCTCAGTGCTACAGGGCTCGCCGACGACTTGTGGGCGAGTGTTGATGTCGCAGTGATGATCGTCCACGACGGAGAAGTCGTCGTCTCTTACACACGTCACAACCGGTATCCGGGTTCCTGTCGACAACGAATGAGGTAACGTTAATAGGGTACAAGGAGCAATCATCACGCATCCATTGGACTCCGGACACAGGTGCAGCTGCTGCTTCACGTCCGCATCGTTGTTATGCGCGTGACCAGGGTTTATCTCATGACGTACCTGTGCCGCATGTCTGACTGCACTGACCAGTCTGGGTCTTCCACATGAAGTTGGCGGGCTGCAACGAGTTCGTGGTGACGTAGTACTCGTAAGACACACGGGGTGCGACATCGGCGTAGCTGCTGGCACTGTCGCCCATGATGCGGTAAACCTGCAACACGTTTAGAATCTTTATCTTGCATACTACACGGAGAATACGGAAAACATGCGCAGGATCATCGTTATATCGCAGTGTATTTTATTGTTTAACAATGATTGTAACTGTGTTACATTGCTTCTGTAAAATTCGGGAGACGTTCATTGCATTATATTTAGATAGTAAAAAGTCGTCAGGAGTGTAGTACTTATTAAGGGAAGCATCATCCATCCGGAATACAAACGGAGACAGAACTGCTATGTCGATCTGCCAGGAAACATGCTCACGACCTCCACCAAACACCGGATCTGACGAACCTCCACCAAACACTGGACCTGACGTACCCTCCACCAAACACTGGATCTGACGTACCCTCCACCAAACACTGGATCTGACGTACCCTCCCCCAAACACTGGATCTGATGTACCCTCCACCAAACACTGGATCAGACGTACCCTCCACCAAACACTTGATCTGACGTACCCTCCACCAAACACTGGATCTGACGTACCCTCCACCAGACACTGGATCTGACGTACCCTCCACCAAACACTGGATCTGACGTACCCTCCACCAAACACTGGATCTGACGTACCCTCCACCAAACACTGGATCTGACGTACCCTCCAGCAAACACTGGATCTGACGTACCCTCCACCAGACACTGGATCTGACGTACCCTCCACCAAACACTGGATCAGACGTACCCCCCACCAGACACTGGATCTGACGTACTCTCCACCAAACACTAGATCAGACGTACCCGCCACCAAACACTGGATCTGACGTACCCTCCACCAAACACTGGATCTGACGTACCCTCCACCAAACACTGGATCTGACGTACCCTCCACCAAACACTGGATCTGACGTACCCTCCACTAGACCCTGGATCTGACGTACCCTCCACCAAACACTAGATCAGACGTACCCTCCACCAAACACAAGATCAGACGTACCCTCCACCAAACACTGGATCTGACGTACCCTCCACCAAACACAAGATCAGACGTACCCTCCACCAAACACTGGATCAGACTTACCCTCCACCAAACACTGGATCTCACGTACCCTCCACAAAACACTGGATCTGACGTACCCTCCCCAAAACACTGGATCTGACGTACCCTCCACCAAACACTAGATCAGACGTACCCTCCACCAAACACTAGATCAGACGTACCCTCCCCCAAACACTGGATCTGACGTACCCTCCACCAAACACTGGATCTGACGTACCCTCCACCAAACACTGGATCTGACGTACCCTCCACCAAACACTGGATCTGACGTACCCTTCACCAGACCCTGGATCTGACGTACCCTCCACCAAACACTGGATCAGACGTACCCTCCACCAGACCCTGGATCTGACGTACCCTCCAGACACTGGATCTGACGTACCCTCCACCAAACACTGGATCTGACGTACCCTCCACCAGACCCTGGATCTGACGTACCCTCCACCAAACATTGGATCTGACGTACCCTCCACCAAACACTGGATCAGACTTACCCTCCACCAAACACTGGATCTCACGTTACCTCCACAAAACACTGGATCTGACGTACCCTCCCCAAAACACTGGATCTGACGTACCCTCCACCAAACACTAGATCAGACGTACCCTCCACCAAACACTAGATCAGACGTACCCTCCCCCAAACACTGGATCTGACGTACCCTCCACCAAACACTGGATCTGACGTGCCCTCCACCAAACACTGGATCTGACGTACCTTCCACCAAACACTGGATCTGACGTACCCTCCCCCAAACACTAGATCAGACGTACCCTCCACCAAACACTGGATCTGACGTACCCTCCACCAAACACTGGATCTGACGTACCCTCAACCAAACACTGGATAAGACGTACCTGTGCTTCTACCTGTTCAGGTAAGGGTCCAGTGATGGAGATCTTCTCGGGTCGCGATCTGTACTTCACGGTGACACCGGCGGTCGTGTATGTCCCTGACCGATCGGGCGAGTCCCCAAACTTGCTGAACATCAACTCTCCGTTCACAAGGATTGCTGTGGAGAGCAGAGCTCCGTCAAATACTTTCTGTGACATCACGTCAGTCATATCCTGTCGTCACACATCACAGAAGACTGACATGGACTTCTTAGTTTTATATACATTCAACTGGACGGTTGAAAGATCCTTCACAGCTCTCTTCTACTGGCATTCGGTATTTGAGTGTGTGTTTGTTATTTAACGCCGCACACAGCAATATTCCAGTTAAATGACGGCGGTCTGTAAATAATCGTATCTGGACCAGACAGTCTAGTGATTGACATAATCAGCATCGATTCACGCAATTGGGATACATAGTCGCCTCTAACGACAAGCATAGTTGCCTTTTACGGCAAGCACTGGTTTGCCGAAGACCTATTCTCACCCGGATTTTCACGGGGTATTCGAGTGAGTGAGGAGTGAGATGGTGTGTTATTAGAACTACACCCGTTATCCACACCCCACCCCCAACCCATCCCTCACATTACTTACACATGTGGGTGAGGAAGTTCTTATTGATGATGTTGATGAAGGTGGCGCCTTTGGGTAACGTGACGAACGTGACGTATTCTGGAAAGAAATCAGGTATTAGGCGCTGACAACACGCACAGGAGACGGGAACAATTGATACAGTATATTTAGTTGGGCTAACGCAAGTATAGGAACATGCTGACTAAGAGAATGCTAGGACACACTGGGGAACATGCACTCAACTAGAACTACATTGGGCAGGAGTAACGTACTACGCTTCTCTCCTTGGTTGTAGGTCCCATTCCTCTTCTCACACGTGTCACCCTTGCCGTCACACACCAGACACCTGTCATATTGCCGTCCCGACTCTAGCTTGCCGTCACAGCCGAACTCCTAAAACACATACGTCACAGTGAATATACGTCACACACAAGACACCTGTCATATTGCCGTCCCGACTCTAGCTTGCCGTCACAGCCGAACTCCTAAAACACATACGTCACAGTGAATATACGTCACACACAAGACACCTGTCATATTGCCGTCCCGACTCTAGCTTGCCGTCACAGCTGAACTCCTAAAACACATACGTCACAGTGAATCTACGTCACACACAAGACACCTGTCATATTGCCGTCCCGACTCTAGCTTGCCGTCACAGCCGAACTCCTAAAACACATACGTCACGGTGAATATACGTCACACACAAGACACCTGTCATATTGCCGTCCCGACTCTAGCTTGCTGTCACAGCCGAACTCCTAAAACACATACGTCACGGTGAATATACGTCACACACAAGACACCTGTCATATTGCCGTCCCGACTCTAGCTTGCCGTCACAGCCGAACTCCTAAAACACATACGTCACGGTGAATATACGTCACACACAAGACACCTGACATAGTGCCGTCCCGACTCTAGCTTGCCGTCACAGCCGAACTCCTAAAACACATACGTCACGGTGAATATACGTCACACACAAGACACCTGTCATATTGCCGTCCCGACTCTAGCTTGCCGTCACAGCCGAACTCCTAAAACACATACGTCACGGTGAATATACGTCACACACAAGACACCTGACATATTGCCGTCCCGACTCTAGCTTGCCGTCACAGCCGAACTCCTCAAACACATACGTCACAGTGAATATACGTCACACACAAGACACCTGACATATTTCCGTCCCGACTCTAGCTTGCCGTCACAGCCGAACTCCTAAAACACATACGTCACAGTGAATATACGTCACACACAAGACACCTGTCATATTGCCGTCCTGACTCTAGCTTGCCGTCACAGCCGAACTCCTAAAACACATACGTCACAGTGAATATACGTCACACACAAGACACCTGACATATTGCCGTCCCGACTCTAGCTTGCCGTCACAGCCGAACTCCTAAAACACATACGTCACAGTGAATATACGTCACACACAAGACACTTGACATATTGCCGTCCCGACTCTAGCTTGCCGCCACAGCCAAGCCCATATAGAGTATCTTTTGAACAGTGATTTACATCACCGAAATTCCGAAACTGGTCCATGGCCCCGCTCCATCAAGGGATCTCAGTGCTAAGACGATCGAACCTCCTATACTTTAACTTGGCTTTGTGGACCTTGGCCAAGGTTTCAAACGTTTACCACTTTGGTGATCACGGTGTCCAACTGAAGATGTGTTGCCTTCAGGGCGAATCTGACATTCGAAACCCTACACCTGAAATACCGCCGCCATACACATGCCAAACTGCCGTCATACCACCTCCACACGCCTGCCATAGCGCCACCATACACCTGTCATACCGCCACCATACAACTGTCATACCGCCACCATACACCTGTCATACCGCCACCATACACCTGTCATACCGCCGCCATACACCTTACATACCGCCGCTTTACACCTGTCATACCGCCGCCATACACATGCCATACTGCCGCCATACCGCCACCATACACCTGTCATACCGCCGCCATACACCTGTCATACCGCCACCATACACCTGTCATACCGCCGCCATGCACCTGTCATACCGCCGCCATACACCTGTCATGCCGCCGCCATACACCTGTCATACCGCCACCATACACCTGTCATACCGCCACCATACACCTGTCATACCGCCGCTTTACACCTGTCATACCGCGGCTTTACACCTGTCATACCGCCGCCATGCACCTGTCACACCGTCGCCATACACCTGCCATACCGCAACCATTCACCTGTCATACCGCCGCCATACACCTGTCATACCGCCACCATACACCTGACATACCGCCACCATACACCTGTCATACCGCCGCTTTACACCTGTCATACCGCCGCCATACATCTGTCATACCGCCACCATACATCTTTTAAAACCGCCACCATACACCTGTCATACCGCCGCCATACACCTGACATACCGCCACCATACACCTGTCATACCGCAACCATTCACCTGTCATACAGCAACCATACACCTGTCATACCGCCGCCATACACCTGCCATACCGCAACCATACACCTGACATACCGCAACCATACACCTGCCATACCATCGCCATACACCTGTCATACTGCCGCCATACACCTGTCATACCACCGCCATACACTTGTCATACCGCCGCCATACACCTGACATACCGCCGCCATACACCTGTCATACCGCCACCATACACCTGTCATACCGCCGCTTTACACCTGTCATACCGCCGCTTTACAACTGCCATACCGCCGCCATACACCTGTCATACCGCCGCTTTACACCTGTCATACTGCCACCATACACCTGTCATACCGCCGCTTTACACCTGTCATACCGCCACCATACACCTGCCATACCGCCGCCATACACCTGTCATACCGCCGCTTTACACCTGTCATACCGCCACCATACACCTGCCATACCGCCACCATACACCTGTCATACCGCCGCTTTACACCTGTCATACACCTGCCATACCGCCACCATACACCTGTCATACCGCCGCTTTACACCTGTCATACCGCCGCTTTACATCTGTCATACCGCCACCATACACCTGCCATACCGCAACCATTCACCTGTCTGCCGCCGCCATATGTCATACCGCGCCATAGAACTGTCATACCGCCGCTATACACCTGTCATACCGCCACCATACACCTGTCATACCGCCGCCATACACCTGACATACCGCCACCATACACCTGTCATACCGCCGCCATACAACTGTCATACAGCCGCTATACACCTGTCATACCGCCACCATACACCTGTCATACCGCAACCATTCACCTGTCATACAGCAACCATACACCTGTCATACCGCCGCCATACACCTGCCATACCGCAACCATACACCTGACATACCGCAACCATACACCTGCCATACCATCGCCATACACCTGTCATACTGCCGCCATACACCTGTCATACCACCGCCATACACCTGTCATACCGCCGCCATACACCTGACATACCGCCGCCATACACCTGTCATACCGCCGCCATACACCTGCCATACTGCAACCATACACCTGACATACCGCAACCATACACCTGCCATACCATCGCCATACACCTGTCATACTGCCGCCATACACCTGTCATACCACCGCCATACACTTGTCATACCGCCGCCATACACCTGACATACCGCCGCCATACACCTGTCATACCGCCACCATACACCTGTCATACCGCCGCTTTACACCTGTCATACCGCCACCATACACCTGCCATACCGCCGCCATACACCTGTCATACCGCCGCTTTACACCTGTCATACCGCCACCATACACCTGTCATACCGCCGCTTTACACCTGTCATACACCTGCCATACCGCCACCATACACCTGTCATACCGCCGCTTTACACCTGTCATACCGCCGCTTTACACCTGTCATACCGCCACCATACACCTGCCATACCGCAACCATTCACCTGTCTGCCGCCGCCATATGTCATACCGCCGCCATACAACTGTCATACCGCCGCTATACACCTGTCATACCGCCACCATACACCTGTCATACCGCCGCCATACACCTGCCATACCGCAACCATTCACCTGTCATACAGCAACCATACACCTGTCATACCGCCGCCATACACCTGCCATACCGCAACCATACACCTGACATACCGCCACCATACACCTGCCATACCACCGCCATACACCTGTCATACTGCCGCCATACACCTGTCATACCACCGCAATACACCTGTCATACCGCCGCTATACACCTGACATACCGCCGCCATACACCTGTCATATCGCCACCATACACCTGCCTTCCTGCCGCCATACCCCTGCCATACCGCCACCATACCGCCGCCATACACCTGCCTTCCTGCCGCCATACACCTGTCATACCGCCACCATACACCTGTCATACAGCCACCATACACCTGTCATACCGCCTCGCCATTGCCAGTTTTCCTTCACAGTGAATATAATTCCTGGGCCTACTCACCCGACACTGTCCTTCCAGACACCGATGGTGGTTGACGCCTTCCTCCTCCCGCAGACAAAGGGTCCCGTCGTGGAAATGGGAACTCCGCCGGGTGAGGATGTTGGTGTTGTCACGGAGACAGTACATCTCACACGGGGGCTCTGAGGGAGATCATTGACAGTACATCTCACACGGGGGCTGTGAGGGAGATCATTGACAGTACATCTCACACGGGGGCTCTGAGGGAGATCATTGACAGTACATCTCACACGGGGGCTCAGAGGGAGATCATTGACAGTACAGCTCACACGGGGGCTCTGAGGGAGATCATTGACAGTACATCTCACACGGGGGCTCTGAGGGAGATCATTGACAGTACAGCTCACACGGGGGCTCTGAGGGAGATCATTGACAGTACATCTCACACGGGGGCTCTGAGGGAGATCATTGACAGTACAGCTCACACGGGGGCTCTGAGGGAGATCATTGACAGTACTACTCACACGGGGGCTCTGAGGGAGATCATTGACAGTACATCTCACACGGGGCTCTGCGGGATATCATTGACAGTACATCTGACAGAGCTCTGAGGGAGATCATTGACAGTACATCTCACACGGGGCTCCGAGGGAGATCATTGACAGTACATCTCACACGGGGCTCTGCGGGATATCATTGACAGTACATCTGACAGAGCTCTGAGGGAGATCATTGACAGTACATCTGACAGAGCTCTGAGGGAGATCATTGACAGTGCATCTGACAGAGCTCTGAGGGAGATTATTGACAGTACATCTCACACGGGGCTTTGCGGGAGATCATTGACAGTACATCTCACACGGGGGCTCCGAGGGAGATTATTTACAGTACATCTCGCACGGGGCTCTGTGGGATATCATTGACAGTACATCTGACACGGGGCTTTGCGGGAGATCATTGACAGTACATCTGACAGAGCTCTGGGAGAGATCATTGACAGTACATCCGACATGGGGGCTGCGAGGGAGATCATTGACAGTACATCTGATATGGGGGCTCTGAGGGAGGTCATTGACAGTACATCTGACACGTTGGCTCTCCTTGCAACACGCCTACCTGAAGTCCCCTGGTAGGGCGTCCAGTGATGATTGACCCCATTCAAGGGGATGGCGTCGGTGGCGGCACACTGCTCGGCGAGATAGTTCGCCTGACTCGTGTTGCATGTCTGTGATAGGGGGACAAAGCAGAGATGACGGATTATGGGTGGAACGACGCATCGCCATTGTCCACTGCAGTACGTTGGTGAGAACATATGATATAAATAGTCAGAGAGATGGTATTGATAGATGTAATCAGCGACTTGGGGACGTGTTTGGAATAATGCAAGCAGATATATAGTGTCGGCTGGTAGAGGTCGCGCCAAAATTGCTGGATTGGGTGATGGAGGTTAGTTGTTATTTATGTTTCAGAATGATCCCGTCCGAGGTCCACACACACGACGATGGCGTCCCACCGTGTAGTGGCTTCCTCCTGGTACTGTAAACACTCCTCAATAGCAAATATGATGTCATCATAATTTGCATAATGCTTGTCAGACAGTCCTGTCTTCAAGTTTGGGAATAGATGGAAATGTGATGTGAACTACGGGGGATGCACCATGAGTTCAAAGTCACCTGTCATGCGCTGCAGCCATGGCGACAACGGACTTGTACACAAGAACATCATCCTCTGGGAACAACACACCTTTATAGTGAGGTTTTCACGACGTTTGATAGTGATATTCTTACGCAGTTGTTTAACCAGATTAGCATGATATTGGTCATTAATGGTCTGACTATTCGGGAGCAAACTATCAAGGCTGTACTATACATCCTCCGTAGTGAGGATCACCGCGACCTGTCAACCAACCCTCGTACTTCAGTGCTTGTGAACAGCAACAGTGTGTTCAGCTAACGGTACATCATGGCAACAATGATATTCTTAGCTCTGTGACGTCACGTCAGTCATCCACAGTCGTCACACATCACAGAAGACTGACACTGACTCCTTGGTTACATATTCTCTCTACTGGACGGTTTTAGTTTGAAGCGAAAGACCCTCGCAGCTCTCTTCCACTGATATTCGGTATTTGAGCGTTTGCTTGTTTGTGTGTTGTTTAACGCCGCACTCAGCAATATTCCAGCTATATGACGGAGATCTGTAAATAATCGAGTCTTGACCAGACACTCCAGTGATTGACATCATGAGCATCGATCTACATAATTGGGATACGATGACATGCATCAACCAAGTCGGCGAGCCTGACCATCCGATCCCGTAAGTCGCCCCTTGCGACAAGCATGGTCGCCTCTCGTGGTAAGCATGGGTTGCTGAAGACCTATTCTACCCCGGATCTTCACGGGTCCCTCACAGTTAGATGTTGAGATGGTCAGTACCTACCTGCAGGTTGCACATCTCGGCCTGGAGTCCCACACCTTCACACGGCTTGCCTCCGAACTTGGGGCTGGTCACAGACAGGAGAGACAACATATACAAACTGAGACATTTCCCTATAACACAGTGCCCTCCCAACTGAGACTACCGGAAGTCTACCAGTGTGTTAATGGATGGGAGATCCCAGAGCTGAGACTACCGGAAGTCTATGTTAATGATATGCGAGATCGTAGAGCTGAGACTACCGGAAGTCTATGTTAATGATATGCGAGATCGTAGAGCTGAGACTACCGGAAGTCTATGTTAATGATATGCGAGATCGTAGAGCTGAGACTACCGGAAGTCTATGAGTGTGTTAATGATATGCGAGATCTTAGAGCTGAGACTACCGGAAGTCTATGTTAATGATATGCGAGATCGTAGAGCTGTGACTACCGGAAGTCTATGTTAATGATATGCGAGATCGTAGAACTGAGACTACCGTAAGTCTATGAGTGTGGTAATGATATGCGAGATCTTAGAGCTGAGACTACCGGAAGTCTATGTTAATGATATGCGAGATCGTAGAGCTGAGACTACCGTAAGTCTATGAGTGTGTTAATGATATGCGCGATCTAAAAGCTGAGACTACCGGAAGTCTATGTTAATGATATGCGAGATCGTAGAGCTGAGACTACCGGAAGTCTATGAGAGTGTTAATGATATGCGAGATCTTAGAGCTGAGACTATCGGAAGTCTATGTTAATGATATGCGAGATCGTAGAGCTGTGACTACCGGAAGTCTATGTTAATGATATGCGAGATCGTAGAGCTGAGACTACCGGAAGTCTATGTTAATGATATGCGAGATCGTAGAGCTGAGACTGCCGGAAGTCTATGAGTGTGTTAATGGATCGGAGATCTTAGAGCTGTGACTAAGGTAAGTCCAAGTTTATGTTTTGCAAGATCCTAGAGTTGAGACTACCGGAAGTCTAACAGTTTGTTAATGGATTGGTGATCTCAGAGCTGTGACTACCGGAAGTCTATGTTAATGATATGCGAGATCGTAGAGCTGAGACTACCGGAAGTCTACCAGTGTTTTAATGGATGGGAGATCGTAGAGTTGAGCCTACCTTAAGTCTATGAGAGTGTGATGGATGGGAGATCGTAGAGTTGAGACTACCGTAAATCTATGAGAGTGTTAATGGATGGGAGATCGTAGAGTTGAGACTACCGTAAGTCTATGAGAGTGTTAATGGATGGGAGATCGTAGAGCTGTGACGACTGGAAGTCTATGATAATGGATCGGAGTGAGGACAGTCGTAGAGCGCTCTGTTGATGGACAGCACAAGCAACAATATTCCAACGCATCACGGCAGACGCGAGTTAAGCCAGACAAACCGGTGATTGACAGCATGAGCACAATCCACGCCGTCAGGGTATACGTGCACCCAGGCTATCCGCAGATCCCCTTAAGTCCTCTCTGAAGACAAGCACGGGGCACAGGATCTACTCCGCCACTGAATCCCTCGGGAGCCAAGTTTCTTACAGTATGAGAACAAACCCCCAATGGATGCTGCTAGTCCTGTGTCAGGAGATGGAGAAGTGAGGGGACTACTTACGATGGGTTGTCACATGCTCGGCTCTTGTACGTGACTCCACCCCCACACGTCCGGGAACAGGGTGACCAGGCTGGGTCCCACGCCGACCACGCCCCGTCCACCGCGTCAGGGCCGTTCGTGCCGAAGTCCACACACTTGCCGCCCATACACCACTGTCACACAGAGATAGGTGCTTACCCCACATAGGTGCGCTACATGTAGGTTTGTGTTAAGTATGGTTACGTGTGCAGGACGTGTGTTTTAGGTTTCTGTTACACGTGCATTACGTGTTTGTTAAGTTTGGTTACGTATACATGACGTGTGTGTTAAGTTTGTGTTACACGTGCATTACGTGTTTGTTAAGTTAGTGATATGTGTGCAGGGCGTGTGTTTTAGGTTTCTGTTACACGTGCATTACGTGTTTGTTAAGTTAGTGATGTGTGTGCAGGGCGTGTGTGTTAAGTTTGTGTTACACGTGCATTACGTGTTTGTTAAGTTAGTGATATGTGTGCTGGGCGTGTGTTTTAGGTTTCTGTTACACGTGCATTACGTGTTTGTTAAGTTAGTGATGTGTGTGCAGGGCGTGTTTGTTAAGTTTGTGTTACACGTGCATTACGTGTTTGTTAAGTAAGTGATATGTGTGCAGGACGTGTGTGTTAAGTTTGTGTTTCACGTGCATTACGTGTTTGTTAAGTTTGGTTACGTATACATGACGTGTGTGTTAAGTTTGGTTACGTATACATGACGTGTGTGTTTGTGTTACACGTGCATTAAGTGTTTGTTAAGTTAGTGATATGTGTGCAGGACGTGTGTGTTAAGTTTGTGTTACACGTGCATTACGTGTTTGTTAAGTTTGGTTACGTATACATGACGTGTGTGTTAAGTTTGCGTTACGTGTGCATGACGTATATATATATATACCAGGGATCAGGCATGTCATACAGATATATTTACAACACAAGCTGTTTTTGTGCGGCATAACTGACCAGGTGCTATACCGACCTTGGAGGGGGCGCACTCGGTTCCGTCCATCCTGGGGGTGCCCTCCGTCACGCACATCCCGCCCTTGGGGGCATAACACACCAGGACACCGCACTCGTCCTGCAGGGGAGAGACGTCACGTGATGCACCACACATTGTGTCCTTCACGCCTCACTCTCACCTCACAAACATGTTTTTATGCTACTAAACAAATGTAAATGGAAGTAGTGTGGTCGGGTATACACGTGTATCAATGAACACGGATTGAAACACAATACGCAACAGTATTTGGTGATATGTTTCAATAAAAAAACACAATTATAACATGCAAACTGCTGTGCAACTGATGTGCATTCGTCTGGAATTTGTACGATAACTTCTGACCACAAAATTCACCCCTCGTTTTTCAAAACAAATTGCATAATGATTCTCGTATTGTCAGCGACTATATTAAGGTGATACACATCAACACAACTGAAATATATAATGCACATAGGCTACAAAGACCAGTTACAGACGTGTCTGATACTCTAGACTCCACCCCGAAACACAACATACACTGCTCATCTGGCGGTAGAGCTTGGAGTAGACTGTGTTGTTACCCTGTGGTAGAGCTTGGAGTAGACTGTCTTGTTATCCTGTGGTAGAGCTTGGAGTAGACTGTGTTGTTATCCTGTGGTAGAGCTTGGAGTAGACTGTGTTGTTACCCTGTGGTAGAGCTTGGAGTAGACTGTATTGTTACAGTGTGGTAGAGCTTGGAGTAGACTGTGTTGTTACCCTGTGGTAGAGCTTGGAGTAGACTGTATTGTTACAGTGTGGTAGAGCTTGGAGTAGACTGTGTTGTTACCCTGTGGTAGGGCTTGGAGTAGACTGTGTTGTTACCCTGTGGTAGAGCTTGGAGTAGACTGTGTTGTTATCCTGTGGTAGAGCTTGGAGTAGACTGTGTTGTTATCCTGTGGTAGAGCTTGGAGTAGACTGTGTTGTTACCCTGTGGTAGAGCTTGGAGTAGACTGTGTTGTTATCCTGTGGTAGAGCTTGGAGTAGACTGTGTTGTTCTCCTGTGGTAGAGCTTGGAGTAGACTGTGTTGTTACCCTGTGGTAGAGCTTGGAGTAGACTGTATTGTTACAGTGTGGTAGAGCTTGGAGTAGACTGTGTTGTTACCCTGTGGTAGAGCTTGGAGTAGACTGTGTTGTTACCCTGTGGTAGGGCTTGAAGTAGACTGTGTTGTTACCCTGTGGTAGGGCTTGGAGTAGACTCTGTTGTTACCCTGTGGTAGAGCTTGGAGTAGACTGTGTTGTTACCCTGTGGTAGAGCTTGGAAAAGACTGTGTTGTTATCCTGTGGTAGGGCTTGGAGTAGACTGTGTTGTTACCCTGTGGTAGGGCTTGGAGTAGACTGTGTTGTTATCCTGTGGTAGAGCTTGGAGTAGACTGTGTTGTTATCCTGTGGTAGAGCTTGGCGTAGACTGTGTTGTTACCCTGTGGTAGGGCTTGGAGTAGACTGTGTTGTTACCCTGTGGTAGAGCTTGGAGTAGACTGTGTTGTTACCCTGTGGTAGGACTTGGAGTAGACTATGTTGTTACCCTGTGGTAGGGCTTGGAGTAGACTGTGTTGTTACCCTGTGGTAGAGCTTGGAGTAGACTGTGTTGTTACCCTGTGGTAGTGCTTGGAGTAGACTGTGTTGTTATCCTGTGGTAGAGCTTGGAGTAGACTCTGTTGTTACCCTGTGGTAGAGCTTCGAGTAGACTGTGGTGTTATCCTGTGGTAGAGCTTGGAGAAGACTGTGTTGTTACCCTGTGGTTGGAGTTGGAGTAGACTGTGTTGTTACCCTGTGGTAGAGCTTGGAGTTGACTGTATTGTTATCCTGTGGTAGAGCTTGTAGTAGACTGTGTTGTTATCCTGTGGTAGGGCTTGGAGTAGACTGTGTTGTTACCCTGTGGTAGGGCTTGGAGTAGACTGTGTTGTTACCCTGTGGTAGAGCTTGGAGTATACTGTGTTGTTACCCTGTGGTAGAGCTTGGAGTAGACTGTGTTGTTACCCTGTGGTAGGGCTTGGAGTAGACTCTGTTGTTACCCTGTGGTAGGGCTTGGAGTAGACTGTGTTGTTACCCAGTGGTAGAGCTTGGAGAAGACTGTGTTGTTACCCTGTGGTTGGAGTTGGAGTTGACTGTATTGTTATCCTGTGGTAGAGCTTGTAGTAGACTGTGTTGTTATCCTGTGGTAGGGCTTGGAGTAGACTGTGTTGTTACCCTGTGGTAGAGCTTGGAGTTGACTGTATTGTTATCCTGTGGTAGAGCTTGTAGTAGACTGTATTGTTACCCTGTGGTTGGAGTTGGAGTAGACAGTGTTGTTACCCCGCGGTAGAGCTTGGGGTAGACTGTTTTGTTACCCCACGGTAGAGCTTGGAGTAGACTGTGTTGTTACTCGCCCTATGGTAGTAGACTGTGTTGTTACTGCCCCTATGGTAGTAGACTGTGTTGTTACTGCCCCTATGGTAGTAGACTGTGTTGTTACTGCCCCTATGGTAGTAGACTGTGTTGTTACTCACCCTATGGTAGTAGACTGTGTTGTTACTGCCCCTATGGTAGTAGACTGTGTTGTTACTGCCCCTATGGTAGTAGACTGTGTTGTTACTGCCCCTATGGTAGTAGACTGTGTTGTTACTGACCCTATGGTAGTAGACGGTGTTGTTACTGCCCCTATGGTAGTAGATTGTGTTGTTACTGCCCCTATGGTAGTAGACTGTGTTGTTACTGCCCCTATGGTAGTAGATTGTGTTGTTACCGACCCTATGGTAGTAGACTGTGTTGTTACTCACCCTATGGTAGTAGACTGTGTTGTTACTGCCCCTATGGTAGTAGACGGTGTTGTTACTGCCCCTATGGTAGTATACTGTATTGTTACCGACTCTATGGTAGTAGACTGTGTTGTTACTCACCCTATGGCAGTAGACTGTGTTGTTACTGCCCCTATGGTAGTAGACTGTGTTGTTACTGCCCCTATGGTAGTAGACTGTGTTGTTACTGCCCCTATGGTAGTAGACTGTGGTGTTACTGCCCCTATGGTAGTAGACTGTGGTGTTACTGCCCCTATGTTTGTAGACTGTGTTGTTACTCACCCTGTTGTAGCGCTTGGTAAAGTCTGTGTTGTTACTCACCCCGTTGTAGCGCTTGGTGAAGTCTGTGTTCTTACTCACCCCGTTGTAGCGCTTGGTGAAGTCTGTGTTCTTACTCACCCCGTTGTAGCGCTTGGTGAAGTCTGTGTTGCTACTCACTCCATTGTAGCGCTTGGTAAAGTCTGTGTTGTTACTCACCCCGTTGTAGCGCTTGGTGAAGTCTGTGTTGCTACTCACCCCGTTGTAGCGCTTGGTGAAGTCTGTGTTGGGGCAGCTCCTGGATTTGCTGCCGTACGCCAACTTGCACTGAGCGTCCCCGTCGTAGATGATCCCAGGTTTGTCGTTCAAAAGCTTTAACGTCGCCCCTGTGGGAAGGTCGTTGAGGCAGGAGGACTGTTCTTTCCTGTGTTGAGAAGAAAAGTCTGGTGTCACAAGACGTATCTCAGGCAAATAGAATGGAAATTACTCAACTTAAACCAATCTGATTTTCCGTTTGTTGAAAAATGAAAAAAAACAGCTTTATTGTAGTTAACTTACTTTCATACTTTGAATCTGTAACACCGCAATATGATTAGGCACATTGCTGGTTGCATCATGACAATATTGCACGTTGCTGGCTACGTCATGACAAGGTTGTGTGTTGCTGTTCACATGAGAACGTTGTGTGTTTCTGGCAACGACATGACTATGTTGTGTGTTTCTGGCAACGACATGACTATGTTGTGTGTTGCTGGCTACGTCATGACTATGTTGTGCATTTCTTGCTACGTCATGACAACGTTGTGTGTTGCTGGCTACGTCATGACAACGTTGTGTGTTGCTCTTCACATGACAACGTTGTGTGTTGCTGGCAACGCCATGACTATGTTGTGCATTGCTTGCTACGTCATGACAACGTTGTGTGTTGCTTGCTGCATCATGACAATATTGCACGTTGCTGGCTACGTCATGACTATGTTGTGTGTTTCTGGCAACGCCATGACTATGTTGTGTGTTGCAGGCAACGCTATGACTATGTTGTGTATTGCTGGCTATGTCATGACAACGTTGTGTGTTGCTGGCAACGCCATGACTATGTTCAGTATTGCTGGCTACGTCATGACAACGTTGTGTGTTGCTGGCTACGTCATGACAACGTTGTGTGTTGCTGGCTACGTCATGACTATGTTGTGTATTGCTGGCTACGTCATGACAACGTTGTGTGTTGCTCTTCACATGAGAACGCTGTGTGTTGCTGGCTACGTCATGACAAGGTTGTGTGTTGCTGGCTACGTCATGACAACGTTGTGTGTTGCTCTTCACATGACAACGTTGTGTGCAGCTGGCAACGCCATTACTATGTTGTGTATTGCTGGCTACGTCATGACAAGGTTGTGTGTTGCTCTTCACATGAGAACGTTGTGTGTTGCTGGCTACGTCATGACAAGGTTGTGTATTGCTGGCTACGTCATGACAACGTTGTGTGTTGCTCTTCACATGAGAACGTTGTGTGTTGCTGGCTACGTCATGACAAGGTTGTGTATTGCTGGCTACGTCATGACAACGTTGTGTGTTGCTGGAAACGCCATGACTATGTTGTGTGTTGCTGGTTACGTCATGACAACGTTGTGTGTTGCTGGCAACGCCATGACAAGGTTGTGTGTTGCTGGTTACGTCATGACAACGTTGTGTGTTGCTCTTCACATGAGAACGTTGTGTGTTGCTGGCTACGTCATGACAAGGTTGTGTATTGCTGGCTACGTCATGACAACGTTGTGTGTTGCTCTTCACATGACAACGTTGTGTGCAGCTGGCAACGCCATGACTATGTTGTGTGTTGCTGGCTACGTCATGACAAGGTTGTGTGTTGCTGGCTACGTCATGACAACGTTGTGTGTTGCTCTTCACATGACAACGTTGTGTGCAGCTGGCAACGCCATGACGATGTTGTGTATTGCTGGCCACGTCATGACAAGTTGTGTGTTGCTGGAAACGTCATGACAACGTTGTGTATTGCTGGCTACGTCATGACAACGTTGTGTATTGCTGGCTACGTCATGACAACGTTGTGTGTTGCTGGCAACGCCATGACTATGTTGTGTATTGCTGGCAACGTCATGACGCTCTGTGTGTTTCTGGCAACGCCATGACAACGTTGTGTGTTGCTGTCAACGTCATGACTATGTTGTGTATTGCTGTCAACGTCATGACTATGTTGTGTGTTGCTGGCTACGCCATGACTATGTTGTGTGCTGCTGTCAACGTCATGACTATGTTGCGTATTGCTGGCAACGTCATGGCGCTGTGTGTGTTTCTGGCAACGCCATGACAACGTTGTGTGTTGCTGTCAACGTCATGACTATGTTGTGTATTGCTGTCAACGTCATGACTATGTTGTGTGTTGCTGGCTACGCCATGACTATGTTGTGTGCTGCTGTCAACGTCATGACTATGTTGTGTATTGCTGGCTACGTAATGACAACGTTGTGTGTTGCTGGCTACGTCATGACAACGTTGTGTGTTGCTGTCAACGTCATGACTATGTTGTGTATTGCTGCCTACATCATGACAACGTTGTGTGTTGCTGGCTACGTCATGACAAGGTATGTGTTGCTGGCTACGTCATGACTATGTTGTGTATTGCTGGTTACGCCATGACTATGTTGTGTATTGCTGGTTACGTCATGACTATGTTGTGTATTGCTGGCTACGTCATGACAACGTTGTGTGTTGCTGGCTACGCCATGACTATGTTGTGTGTTGCTGGCTACGCCATGACTATGTTGTGTGTTGCTGGCTACGCCATGACAATGTTGTATGTTGCTGGCTACGTCATGACTATGTTGTGTATTGCTGGCTACGTCATGACAACGTTGTGTGTTGCTGGCAACGCCATGACTATGTTGTGTGTTGCTGGCAACGCTATAACTATGTTGTGTGTTGCTGTCAACGCCATGACTATGTTGTGTGTTGCTGTCAACGTCATGACGCTGTGTGTGTTTCTGTCAACGTCATGACAAGGTTGTGTGTTGCTGGCAACGTCATGACTATGTTGTATGTTGCTGGCTACGTCATGACTATGTTGTGTATTGCTGGCTACGTCATGGCGCTGTGTGTGTTTCTGGCAACGCCATGACTATGTTGTGTATTGCTGGCTTCGTCATGACAAGGTTGTGTGTTGCTGGCAACGCCATGACTATGTTGTGTGTTGCTGGCAACGCTATAACTATGTTGTGTGTTGCTGGCTACGTCATGACAACGTTGTGTGTTGCTGGCAACGCTATAACTGTGTTGTGTGTTGCTGGCAACGCTATTACTATGTTGTGTGTTGCTGGCAACGCCATGACTATGTTGTGTGTTGCTGGCTACGTCATGACAACGTTGTGTGTTGCTGGCAACGCTATTACTATGTTGTATGTTGCTGGCAACGCTATTACTATGTTGTATGTTGCTGGCAACGCCATGACTATGTTGTGTGTTGCTGGCAACGCTATAACTATGTTGTGTATTCCTGGCTAGGTCATGACAACGTTGTGTGTTGCAAGCAACATCAGTACAATGTTTGTGTTGCAAGGGTATGTCATGACAATGTTGTACATACTTCAAGAAGCGGCCGACGGCCTCGCTGCTGCAGGATGACCAGATGAATCCCGCCGGACCGTTCCCACCCCCAGCCGCCATGATGTAGCTACTCCCGTTGCAGCTGTTGCCGTCCCCGTCGTGGTTAACACCGAGGCTTCAAACAGATGAAAGAGATACTGCGGGTCTGATATACTCAACTAACTTGCCCCATTAGTCTACTCTACCAGCTTGTGCCCCATTAGTCTACTCTACCTGCATATGTCCCATTATTCTACTCTACCTATATGTGCCCTATTAGTCTACTCTACCAACTTGTGCCCCATCTAGTCTGCTCTACCTACATATGCCCCATTATTCTACTCTACCTACATATGCCCCATTATTCTACTCTACCTACATATGCCCCATTATTCTACTCTACCTACATGTGCCCCGTCTAGTCTACTCTACCATCTTGTGCCCCATCTAGTCTACTCTACCAACTTGTGCCCCATCTAGTCTACTCTACCTACTTGTGCCCGAATAGTCTACTCAACCTACCTGTCGCCCGTCTACTACACCAACGTGTGCCCTGTCTAGTCTACTCAACCTACCTGTCGCCCGTCTACTACAACAACGTGTGCCCTGTCTAGTCTACTCTAACTACATGTGCCCCGTCTAGTCTACCAACTTGTGTCCCGTCTAGTCTACTCTACATACATATGACCTGTCTAGTCTACCTACTTGTGGCACGTCTAGTCTACTCTACAAACATATGATCCGTCTAGTCTTCTCTACATACATATGACCCGTCTAGTCTACCTACTTGTGTCCCGTCTATCCTACTCTACCTATATTTAACCCGTCTACTCTACCTACTTGTGTCCCGGCTTCTCTACACTACCAACTTGTGCACCCATCTAGTCTACTCTACCAACTTGTGCCCCGTCTAGTCTACTCTACGAACTTGTGCCCCGTCTAGTCTACTCTACCAACTTGGGCCCCATTTAGTCTACTCTACCAACTTGTGCCCCATCTAGTCTACTCTACCAACTTGTGGCCCATTTAGTCTACTCTACCTACTTGTGCCCCATCTAGTCTACTCTACCAACTTGTGCCCTGTCTAGTCTACTCTACCAACTTGTGCCCCGTCTAGTCTTCTCACCAACTTGTGCCCCATCTAGTCTACTCACCAACTTGTGTCCTGTCCAGTCTACTCTACCTACCTGTCGCCCGTCTACTCCCTCCACCAACTTGTGCCCCATCTAGTCTACTCACCAACTTGTGCCCCATCTAGTCTACTCTACCAACTTGTGCCCTGTCTTGTCTACTCTACGAACTTGTACCCCGTCTAGTCTACTCTACCTACATGTGACCCGTCTAGTCTACCAACTTGTGTCCCGTCTAGTCTACTCTACATACATATGACCCGTCTAGTCTACCTACTTGTGTCCCGTCTAGTCTACTCTACCTACATATAACCCGTCTATTCTACCTACTTGTGTCCCGTCTTATCTACACTACCAACTTGTGTCCCGTCTTCTCTACACTACCAACTTGTGTTCCATCTAGTCTACTCTACCTACATGTGACCCGTCTAGTCCACCAACTTGTGCCCCATCTAGTCTACTCTTCCTACCTGTCTCCCGTCTACTCTGCTCACATGTGTCCCGTCTAGTCTACTCTGCTACATATGTCCAATCTAGTCGACTCTGCTACATGTCCCTTCTATTCTACCAACTTATTCCCCGTCTAGTCTACTCTACCAACTTATGCCCCATCTAGTCTACTCTTCCAACTTGTGCCCCGTCTAGTCTACTCTGCCACATATGTGCCGTCTATTCGACTCTGCTACATGTGTCCCTTCTATTCTACCAACTTGTGCCCCGTCTAGTCTACTCTACCAACTTGTGGCCCATCTAGTCTACTCTACCAACTTGTGCCCCGTCTAATCTACTCTACCAACTTGTGCCCCATCTAGTCTACTCTACCAACTTGTGCCCCATCTAGTCTACTCTACCAACTTGTGCCCTATCTAGTCTACTCTACCAACTTGTGCCCCGTCTAGTTTACTATGCTACATGTGTCCCGTCTAGTCTAATCTACCAACTTGTGCCCTGTCTAGTCTACTCTACCAATTTGTGCCCCGTCTAGTCTATTTTACCAACGTGTGCCCCATCTAGTCTACTCTACCTACCTGTCTCCTTTCTACACTGCCCACCTGTGTCCCCTCTAGTCACTTCTACCCATCTTTGTCCTGTCTAGTCTACTCTGCCCACCTGTGTCCGATCTCGTGTGCGAGAGTGAGTCCCAGGTCGAGCCCCGTGTCCTGGTTGTAGGAACACCGCTGCATGTTGACACATGCTCCACCTAACACGGCCAGGCCCTCCGTGCCCTCCGTCCCGTGACTGTGGATGTCCAGGCTGTGGGCAGATACAGTCGCCGGAATCAGTGAAGTAAACAATGTTAAGGGGACACAAGGATAAACCATGAGGACATGACCTTGTGTTTCAACTACATCTACGTCCGTGTGTCTCAGCTACACTACTGAGTGTGTCACAGCTACACTACTGACTGTGTCTCAGCTACACTACTGACTGTGTCTCAGCTACACTACTGAGTGTGTCTCAGCTACACTACTGTACTGTGTCTCAGCTACACTACTGAGTGTGTCTCAGCTACACTACTGACTGTGTCTCAGCTACACTACTGACTGTGTCTCAGCTACACTACTAACCGTGTCTCAGCTACACTAATGACTGTGTCTCAGCTACACTACTGACTGTGTCTCAGCTACACTACTGAGTGTGTCACAGCTACACTACTGACCGTGTCTCAGCTACACTACTGACTGTGTCTCAGCTACACTACTGACTGTATCTCAGCTACACTACTGACTGTGTCTCAGCTACACTACTGACTGTGTCTCAGCTACACTACTGAGTGTGTCACAGCTACACTACTCACTGTGTCTCAGCTACACTACTGAATGTGTCACAGCTACACTACTGACTGTGTCACAGCTACACTACTGACCAGTGTCTCAGCTACACTACTGACTGTGTCTCAGCAACACTACTGAGTGTGTCACAGCTACACTACTCACTGTGTCTCAGCTACACTACTGACTGTGTCTCAGCTACACTACTGTAATGTGTGCGTCTCAGCTACACTACTGAATGTGTCACAGCTACACTACTGACGGTGTCACAGCTACACTACTCACCGTGACACATCTACACCACTCACTGTATCTCAGCAACACTACTGACCGTGACACATCTACACCACTCACTGTGTCTCAGCAACACTACTGACCGTGTCTCAGCTACACTACTGACTGTGTCTCAGCTACACTACTCACTGTGTCTCAGCTACACTACTCACTGTGTCTCAGCTACACTACTGACTGTGTCTCAGCTACACTACTGTAATGTGTGCGTCTCAGCTACACTACTGAATGTGTCACAGCTACACTACAGACGGTCTCACAGCTACACTACTCACCGTGACACATCTACACCACTCACTGTATCTCAGCAACACTACTGACCGTGACACATCAACACCACTCACTGTGTCACAGCTACACTACTGACTGTGTCTCAGCTACACTACTGACCGTGACACAGCTACACTACTGACGGTGTCTCGGCTACACTATTGACTGTTTCTCAGCTACACTACTGACCGTGTCTCAGCTACACTACTAACTTTGTCTCAGCTACACTACTGACTGTGTCTCAGCTTCAATACTGACTGTGTCTCAGCTACACTACTAACTTTGTCTCAGCTACACTACTGACTGTGACACAGCTACACTACTGACTGTGTCTCAGCTACACTACTGACTGTGTCTCAGCTACACTACTGACTGTGTCTCAGCTACACTACTGACGGTGTCTCGGCTACACTATTGACTGTGTCTCAGCTACACTACTGAGTGTGTCTCAGCTACACTACTGACGGTGTCTCAGCTTCAATACTGACTGTGTCACAGCTACACTACTGACTGTGTCTCAGCTACACTACTAACTTTGTCTCAGCTACACTACTGACTGTGTCTCAGCTTCAATACTGACTGTGTCTCAGCTACACTACTGACTGTGTCTCAGCTACACTACTGAGTGTGTCACAGCTACACTACTGAGTGTGTCACAGCTACACTACTGACGGTGTCTCAGCTACACTACTGACTGTGTCTCAGCTACACTACTGACTGCATCTCAGCTACACTACTGACCGTGTCTCAGCTACACTATTGACTGTGTCTCAGCTACACTACTCACTGTGTCTCAGCTACACTACTGACGGTGTCACAGCTACACTACTGTACTGTGTCTCAGCTACACTACTGAGTGTGTCTCAGCTACACTACTGACTGTGTCTCAGCTACACTACTGACTGTGTCATAGCTACACTACTCACTCTGTCACAGCTACGCTACTCACTCTGTCACAGCTACACTACTGACTGTGTCTCAGCTACACTACTGACTGTGTCTCAGCTACACTACTGACTGTGTCTCGGCTACACTATTGACTGTGTCTCAGCTACACTACTGACTGTGTCACAGCTACACTACTGACTGTGTCTCAGCTACACTACTAACTTTGTCTCAGCTACACTACTGCCTGTGTCTCAGCTTCAATACTGACTGTGTCTCAGCTACACTACTAACTGTGTCTCAGCTACACTACTGAGTGTGTCACAGCTACACTACTGAGTGTGTCACAGCTACACTACTGACTGTGTCTCAGCTACACTACTGACGGTGTCACAGCTACACTACTGTAATGTGTGCGTCTCAGCTACACTACTGACTGTGTCTCAGCTTCAATACTGACTGTGTCTCAGCTACATTACTGACTGTGTCTCAGCTACACTACTGACTGTGTCTCAGCTACACTACTGACTGTGTCTCAGCTACACTACTGACCGTGTCTCAGCTACACTACTGACTGTGTCTCAGCTACACTACTGACTGTGTCACAGCTACACTACTGACTGTGTCTCAGCTACACTACTGAGTGTGTCTCAGCTACACTACTGACCGTGACACAGCTACACTACTGACTGTGACACAGCTACACTACTGACTGTGTCACAGCTACACTACTGACTGTGTCTCAGCTACACTACTGGCTGTGTCTCAGCTACACTACTGACTGTGTCTCAGCTACACTACTAACTGTGTCTCAGCTACACTACTGACTGTGTCTCAGCTACACTACTGACGGTGTCTCAGCTACACTACTAACTTTGTCTCAGCTACACTACTGACTGTGACACAGCTTCACTACTGACTGTGTCATAGCTACACTACTCACTCTTTCACAGCTACACTACTCACTCTGTCACAGCTACACTACTCACTGTGTCTCAGCTACACTACTGACTGTGTCTCAGCTACACTACTGACTGTGTCTCAGCTACACTACTGACGGTGTGTCGGCTACACTATTGACTGTGTCTCAGCTACACTACTGACTGTGTCATAGCTACACTACTAACTTTGTCTCAGCTACACTATTGACTGTTTCTAAGCTACACTACTGACCGTGTCTCAGCTACACTACTAACTTTGTCTCAGCTACACTACTGACTGTGTCTCAGCTTCAATACTGACTGTGTCTCAGCTACACTACTGACTGTGTCTCAGCTTCAATACTGACTGTGTCTCAGCTTCACTACTGACTGTGTCTCAGCTACACTACTGACTGTGTCTCAGCTACACTACTGACTGTGTCTCAGCTACACTACTGACTGTGTCTCGGCTACACTACTGACTGTGTCACAGCTACACTACTGAGTGTGTCTCAGCTACACTACTGACTGTGTCTCAGCTACACTACTGACTGTGTCTCAGCTTCAATACTGACTGTGTCTCAGCTACACTACTGACTGTGTCTCAGCTACACTACTGACTGTGTCTCAGCTACACTACTCACTGTGTCTCAGCTACACTACTGACTGTGTCTCAGCTACACTACTGACTGTGTCTCAGCTACACTACTGACCGTGACACAGCTACACAACTGACTGTGTCTCAGCTACACTACTGACTGTGACACAGCTACACTACTGGCTGTGACTCAGCTACACTACTCACTCTGTCACAGCTACACTACTCACTGTGTCTCAGCTACACTACTGACTGTGTCCCAGCTACACTACTCACTGTGTCTCAGCTACACTACTGACTGTGTCTCAGCTACACTACTGTAATGTGTGCGTCTCAGCTACACTACTGAATGTGTCACAGCTACACTACTGACGGTGTCACAGCTACACTACTCACCGTGACACATCTACACCACTCACTGTGTCTCAGCTACACTACTGACCGTGTCTCAGCTACACTACTCACTCTGTCACAGCTACACTACTGACCGTGACACAGCTACACTACTCACTCTGTCACAGCTACACTTCTGACCGTGTCTCAGCTACACTACTCACTCTGTCACAGCTACACTACTCACTGTGTCTCAGCTACACTACTGACTGTGTCTCAGCTTCAATACTGACTGTGTCTCAGCTACACTACTGACTGTGACACAGCTACACTACTGTACTGTGTGCATCTCAGCTACACTACTCACTGTGTCTCAGCTACACTACTGACTGTGTCTCAGCTTCACTACTGACCGTGTCTCAGCTACACTACTCACTCTGTCACAGCTACACTACTGTCTGTGTCTCAGCTATACTACTGACTGTGACACAGCTACACTACTGTACTGTGTGCGTCTCAGCTACACTACTCACTGTGTCTCAGCTACACTACTGACTGTGTCTCAGCTTCACTACTGACCGTGTCTCAGCTACACTACTCACTCTGTCACAGCTACACTACTGTCTGTGTCTCAGCTATACTACTGACTGTGTCTCAGCTACACTACTGACTGTGTCACAGCTACACTACTGACAGTGTCACAGCTACACTACTGACTGTGTCTCAGCTACACTACTGCACTGTGTGCGTCTCAGCTACACTACTGACCGTGACACATCTACACCACTCACTGTGTCTCAGCTACACTACTGACTGTGTCTCAGCTACACTACTGTACTGTGTGCGTCTCAGCTACACTACTGTGTGCGTCTCAGCTACACTACTGACCGTGTAAGTAGAATGGAGACATCAGCATGTTGAGGGTTGTAGTCATCATCAGGGTTAAAGCCCTCCTGCCATTTGCAGAATGCGTTGAGAGTGTAGTCTGCGTCCGTGGTGACTTCGAGGTCAGCCTGGGGAGATAACATAGACACACATGAGGGATAAAACTCAGACACATGGTAGATAACACATAGCCATGTGGGGGATAACATAGAAACATGTGCAATAACACAAACGCAACAGTAACAGAAACATTTCAGAGATTACATAGATATATGGGAGATAACACAGACACATGGGAGATAACACTGAGACGTGTGGGAGATAACACAAACACATGGGAGATAACACTGAGACATGTGGGAGATAACATAGACACATGGGAGATAACACTGAGACGTGTGGGAGATAACACAAACACATGGGAGATAACACTGAGACGTGTGGGAGATAACACAGACACATGGGAGATAACACTGAGACATGTGGGAGATAACACAGACACATGGGAGATAACACTGAGACATGTGGGAGATAACACTGAGACATGTGGGAGATAACACATAGACATGGGAGATAACATAGACATGTGGGATAACACAGAGACATGTGGGAGATAACACAGACACATGGGAGATAACACAAACACATGGGAGATAACACTGAGACGTGTGAGAGATAACAGACACATGGGAGATAACACTGAGACGTGTGGGATATAACACAGACACATGGGAGATAACACTGAGACATGTGGGAGATAACACAGACACATAGGAGATAACACTAAGACATGTGGGAGATAACACAGACACATGGGAGATAACACTGAGACATGTGGGAGATAACACATAGACATGTGGGAGATAACACAGACACATGGGAGATAACACAAACACACGGGAGATAACACTGAGACGTGTGGGAGATAACACAGACACATGGGAGATAACACTGAGACATGTGGGAGATAACACAGACACATGGGAGATAACACTGAGACATGTGGGAGATAACACTGAGACATGTGGGAGATAACACATAGACATGGGAGATAACATAGATATATGGGATAACACAGAGACATGTGGGAGATAACAGACACATGGGAGATAACATAGACATGTGGGAAATAACACTGAGACGTGTGGGAGATAACAGACACATGGGAGATAACACTGAGACGTGTGGGATATAACACAGACACATGGGAGATAACACTGAGACATGTGGGAGATAACACAGACACATGGGAGATAACACAAACACATTGGAGATAACACTGAGTCGTGTGGGAGATAACACTGAGACGTGTGGGAGATGACACAGACACATGGGAGATAACACAAACACATGGGAGATAACACTGAGACATGTGGGAGATAACACAGACACATGGGAGATAACACAAACACATGGGAGATAACACTGAGACGTGTGGGAGATAACACAGACACATGGGAGATGACACAGACACATGGGAGATATCACTGAGACATGTGGGAGATAACACAGACACATGGGAGATAACACAAACACATGGGAGATAACACTGAGACATGTGGGAGATAACACAGACACATGGGAGATAACACAAACACATGGGAGATAACACTGAGACGTGTGAGAGATAACAGACACATGGGAGATAACACTGAGACGTGTGGGATATAACACAGACACATGGGAGATAACACTGAGACATGTGGGAGATAACACAGACACATAGGAGATAACACTAAGACATGTGGGAGATAACACAGACACATGGGAGATAACACTGAGACATGTGGGAGATAACACATAGACATGTGGGAGATAACACAGACACATGGGAGATAACACAAACACACGGGAGATAACACTGAGACGTGTGGGAGATAACACAGACACATGGGAGATAACACTGAGACATGTGGGAGATAACACAGACACATGGGAGATAACACTGAGACATGTGGGAGATAACACTGATACATGTGGGAGATAACACATAGACATGGGAGATAACATAGATATATGGGATAACACAGAGACATGTGGGAGATAACAGACACATGGGAGATAACATAGACATGTGGGAAATAACACTGAGACGTGTGGGAGATAACAGACACATGGGAGATAACACTGAGACGTGTGGGATATAACACAGACACATGGGAGATAACACTGAGACATGTGGGAGATAACACAGACACATGGGAGATAACACAAACACATTGGAGATAACACTGAGACGTGTGGGAGATAACACTGAGACGTGTGGGAGATGACACAGACACATGGGAGATAACACAAACACATGGGAGATAACACTGAGACATGTGGGAGATAACACAGACACATGGGAGATAACACAAACACATGGGAGATAACACTGAGACGTGTGGGAGGTAACACAGACACATGGGAGATGACACAGACACATGGGAGATATAACTGAGACATGTTGGATATAACACAGACACATGGGAGATAACACAAACACATGGGAGATAACACTGAGACATGTGGGAGATAACACAGACACATGGGAGATAACACAAACACATGGGAGATAACACTGAGACGTGTCGGAGATAACACAGACACATGGGAGATAACATAGACATGTGGGATAACACAGAGGCATGTGGGAGATAACACAGACACATGGGAGATAACACAAACCCTTTGGAGATAACACTGAGACGTGTGGGAGATAACACAGACACATGGGAGATAACACTTAGACATGTGGGAGATAACACAGACACATGGGAGATAACACTGAGACATGTGGGAGATAACACATAGACATGTGGGAGATAACACAGACACATGGGAGATAACACAAACACATGGGAGATAACACTGAGACGTGTGGGAGATAACACAGACACATGGGAGATAACACAGAGACGTGTGGGAGATAACAGACACATGGGAGATAACATAGACATGTGGGAAATAACACTGAGACGTGTGGGAGATAACAGACACATGGGAGATAACACTGAGACGTGTGGGATATAACACTGAGACACATGGGAGATAACACTGAGACATGTGGGAGATAACACAGACACATGGGAGAAGACACAAACACATGGGAGATAACACTGAGTCGTGTGGGAGATAACACAGACACATGGGAGATGACACAGACACATGGGAGATAACACTGAGACACATGGGAGATGACACAGACACTTGGGAGATAACACTGAGACATGTGGGAGATAACACAAACACATGGGAGATAACACTGAGACGTGTGGGAGATAACACAGACACATGGGAGATAACACAGACACATGGGAGATAACACTGAGACATGTGGGAGATAACACAGACACATGGGAGATAACACAAACACATGTGAGATAACACTGAGACGTGTGGGAGATAACACAGACACATGGGAGATGACACAGACACATGGGAGATATCACTGAGACATGTGGGAGATAACACAGACACATGGGAGATAACACAAACGCATGGGAGATAACACTGAGACATGTGGGAGATAACACAGACACATGGGAGATAACACAAACACATGGGAGATAACACTGAGACGTGTGGGAGATAACACAGACACATGGGAGATAACACTTAGACATATGGGAGATAACACAGACACATGGGAGATAACACTGAGACATGTGGGAGATAACACAAAGACATGTGGGAGATAACACAGACACATGGGAGATAACACAAACACATGGGAGATAACACTGAGACGTGTGGGAGATAATACAGACACATGGGAGATAACACTGAGACATGTGGGAGATAACACAGACACATGGGAGATAACACTGAGACATGTGGGAGATAACACATAGACATGTGGGAGATAACACATAGACATGGGAGATAACATAGACATATGGGATAACACAGAGACATGTGGGAGATAACAGACACATGGGAGATAACATAGACACATGGGAGATAACACAAACACATTGGAGATAACACTGAGACGTGTGGGAGATAACACTGAGTCGTGTGGGAGATGACACAGACACATGGGAGATAACACAAACACATGGGAGATAACACTGAGACATGTGGGAGATAACACAGACACATGGGAGATAACACAAACACATGGGAGATAACACTGAGACGTGTGGGAGATAACACAGACACATGGGAGATGACACAGACACATGGGAGATATCACTGAGACATGTGGGAGATAACACAGACACATGGGAGATAACACAAACACATGGGAGATAACACTGAGACATGTGGGAGATAACACAGACACATGGGAGATAACACAAACACATGGGAGATAACACTTAGACGTGTCGGAGATAACACAGACACATGGGAGATAACATAGACATGTGGGATAACACAGAGACATGTGGGAGATAACACAGACACATGGGAGATAACACAAACCCTTTGGAGATAACACTGAGACGTGTGGGAGATAACACAGACACATGGGAGATAACACTTAGACATGTGGGAGATAACACAGACACATGGGAGATAACACTGAGACATGTGGGAGATAACACATAGACATGTGGGAGATAACACAGACACATGGGAGATAACACAAACACATGGCAGATAACACTGAGACGTGTGGGAGATAACACAGACACATGGGAGATAACACTGAGACATGTGGGAGATAACACAGACACATGGGAGATAACACTGAGACATGTGGGAGATAACACATAGACATGTGGGAGATAACACATAGACATGGGAGATAACATAGACATATGGGATAACACAGAGACATGTGGGAGATAACAGACACATGGGAGATAACATAGACATGTGGGAAATAACACTGAGACGTGTGGGAGATAACAGACACATGGGAGATAACACTGAGACGTGTGGGATATAACACTGAGACACATGGGAGATAACACTGAGACATGTGGGAGATAACACAGACACATGGGAGAAGACACAAACACATGGGAGATAACACTGAGTCGTGTGGGAGATAACACAGACACATGGGAGATGACACAGACACATGGGAGATAACACTGAGACACATGGGAGATGACACAGACACATGGGAGATAACACTGAGACATGTGGGAGATAACACAAACACATGGGAGATAACACTGAGACGTGTGGGAGATAACACAGACACATGGGAGATAACACAGACACATGGGAGATAACACTGAGACATGTGGGAGATAACACAGACACATGGGAGATAACACAAACACATGTGAGATAACACTGAGACGTGTGGGAGATAACACAGACACATGGGAGATGACACAGACACATGGGAGATATCACTGAGACATGTGGGAGATAACACAGACACATGGGAGATAACACAAACACATGGGAGATAACACTGAGACATGTGGGAGATAACACAGACACATGGGAGATAACACAAACACATGGGAGATAACACTGAGACGTGTGGGAGATAACACAGACACATGGGAGATAACATAGACATGTGGGATAACACAGAGACATGTGGGAGATAACACAGACACATGGGAGATAACACAAACACATGGGAGATAACACTGAGACGTGTGGGAGATAACACAGACACATGGGAGATAACACTTAGACATGTGGGAGATAACACAGACACATGGGAGATAACACTGAGACATGTGGGAGATAACACAAAGACATGTGGTAGATAACACAGACACATGGGAGATAACACAAACACATGGGAGATAACACTGAGACGTGTGGGAGATAACACAGACACATGGGAGATAACACTGAGACATGTGGGAGATAACACAGACACATGGGAGATAACACTGAGACATGTGGGAGATAACACATAGACATGTGGGAGATAACACATAGACATGGGAGATAACATAGACATATGGGATAACACAGAGACATGTGGGAGATAACAGATACATGGGAGATAACATAGACATGTGGGAAATAACACTGAGACGTGTGGGAGATAACAGACACATGGGAGATAACACTGAGACGTGTGGGATATAACACAGACACATGGGAGATAACACTGAGACATGTGGGAGATAACACAGACACATGGCAGAAGACACAAACACATGGGATATAACACTGAGACACATGGGAGATAACACAGACACATGGGAGATGACACAGACACATGGGAGATAACACTGAGACACATGGGAGATGACACAGACACATGGGAGATAACACTGAGACATGTGGGAGATAACACAAACACATGGGAGATAACACTGAGACGTGTGGGAGATAACACAGACACATGGGAGATAACACAGACACATGGGAGATAACACTGAGACATGTGGGAGATAACACAGACACATGGGAGATAACACAAAAACATGGGAGATAACACTGAGATGTGTGGGAGATAACACAGACTAATGGGAGATGGCACAGACACATGGGAGATAACACAAACACATGGGAGATAACACTGAGACGTGTTGGAGATAACACAGACACATGGGAGATAACACAAACACATGGGAGATAACACTGAGACGTGTGGGAGATAACACAGACACATGGGAGATAACACTGAGACATGTTGGAGATAACACAGACACATGGGAGATAACACAAACGCATGGGAGATATCACTGAGACATGTTGGAGATAACACAGACACATGGGAGATAACACAAACACATGGGAGATAACACTGAGACGTGTGGGAGATAACACAGACACATGGGAGATAACACTGAGACATGTGGGAGATAACACAGACACATGGGAGATAACACAAACACATGTGAGATAACACTGAGACATGTGGGAGATAACACAGACACATGGGAGATAACACAGACACATGGGAGATAACACTGAGACGTGTGGGAGATAACACAGACACATGGGAGATAACACTGAGACATGTGGGAGATAACACAGACATGTGGATAATAACACAAAGACAAGTGGGAGATAACACAGACACATGGGAGATGACACAGACACATGGGAGATAACACAAACACATGGGAGATAACACAGATAGATGGAGATAACACAGACATGTGGGAGATAACACTGAGACATGTGGGAGATAACACAGACACATGGGAGATAACACTGAGACATGTGGGAGATAACACAGACACATGGTAGATAACACAAACACATGGGAGATAACACTGAGACGTGTGGGAGATAACACCAACACATGGGAGATAACACTGAGACATGTGGGAGATAACACAAACACATGGGAGAAGACAAAGACACATTGGAGATAACACAGATACATTTGGGAGATAACACAGACACATGGGAGAAGACAAAGACACATTGGAGATAACACAGACACATGGGTGATAACACAGACGGATGGAGATAACACAGACTTGTGGGAAATAACACAGACATGTTGGAGATAACACAGACACATGGGAGAAGACAAAGACACATTGGATAAAACACAGACACATTGGTGATAACACAGATAGATGGAGATAACACAGACATGTGGGAGATAACACAAACACATGGGCTGTTGTGTTTCTAAATCTCCTCTCAGCCATTATTATAACCACGATTGCATTGTCTGCTTCTAGGTCTACTCTACCCTAAGTCCCACTTAATTAATGCTGGTCAACAAGATAGAATACAGTCAACCCTAGCAGCCAGGAAATATGCACGCACTGTACTCTGGACACTGTCAGGCCAGTTGATGTAATCTGAATGAGTGAGTGACGGGGTAATGAGACAGACATCCCTGCAGAAGAACATCGATCCCGGATCCATGACAATGTGAGTATGAATCCCAATATCTGGACACAGTACAGCCTGTAGTGACATTCACAGAGGATATTCAGTGAATTAGGTGATAGGCCGTTTTTAGCACTAGCCCTGCCTTGTGACGGCATGGAAGTAGACAATAGCAAATCTATATAAGTGGTATAAGCATCAGCCTTCCAATCTCTACAGAACGACGTACTTCCTGTTTCTGTATGTTCGTCATGGTGACGACGGACAGCCGGATGTCATGACCGAGGGAACTGTCTCGAAACCTCAACGCCGCCTGTTGGGAAAAACAGACAACACAATGAGAGAGTAAAGTTTAATGTCATATTTCGCTGGCTTTTGACAAATATTTCTGAGGACCCAAGTCCAGGTGTTAACAACATGAAGCACGTTAATACCAACTCAATGCAGAGGATATATAACACCGATAGAAGTGAAGTGCACATATAATACAGAGAAATGCACAGATATAACACCGAGAGTGGTGAAGCGCACATATAATATCGAGAGTAGTGAAGCGCACATATAATATCCAGAGTAGTGAAGCGCACATATAATATCGAGAGTAGTGAAGCGCACATATAATATCGAGAGTAGTGAAGCGCACATACAATATCAAGAGTAGTGAAGCGCACATATAACACCGAGAGTGGTGAAGCGTACATATAATATCGAGAGTAGTGAAGCGCACATATAATATCGAGAGTAGTGAAGCGCACATACAATATCAAGAGTAGTGAAGCGCACATATAACCCCGAGAGTAGTGAAGCGCATATATAATATCGAGAGTAGTGAAGCACACATATAATATCGATAGTACTGAAGCGCACATATAATATCGAGAGTAGTGAAGCGCACATATAATACCGAGAGTAGTGAAGCGTACTTACAATATTGATAGCGGTCATGACGTATGTTTGCAGGTCGTCCCCATGGAACTTGAACATCTCTGGGTCGTTCACCACCATCAACTCCAGATACTTCGTCTCCGTTGACCTTCGTGACCTTCCTCCTCCGCCCTCCACATCGTCTGACACAGAGCTGCCTGTCAACAAGAACATGTGACTACCACGCTATATCCATACCGCGGAGTTAGCCATAGGTTGACGACCTATGATTCTAGTAACCATGCTGACACCGGGACAGGAGTAAAACTGTCTGTCAACAGACGTCACAGAGGTACAGTCGCACTTACCTGCAACCCCACAGAACCGTTTTGACGCCGTCCTCCTGTAAACCACGTGGGGGCGTCCGCCTGAGACGTCACGCCGCACGCGCGGCACGTGTCGGTGACGTATTGGCACGAGCATAAGGTCATGGTCACTTGTGCTGACAATCCCGTGCTGTTAAGTAAGATATACTGACGGAGTAAACACCACGACGTGTAGAGCAGTGTTCATATATGACAGATATCAATAATAAATAATTGTTGTCGTTTGGCAGCTCAATGAACGTAAACATCGTACCAGTCCGTGACAAGTGCTGACGGCGACCGCTGACTCATTATGGTAAACTGACGTCCCGTGGTAGTAACAGCTACCATGATTGGCTGAGCAGGGGTGGATGACCGCTGTCCTATTGGCCGTCAGTGTCCTCACAACACAGCCTGAAACACACATTACGCCATACAGTGGACCCTGACTGAACCGATGACTTCTCTATACAGGACACTCTGGTACATGACGCATGATCATCCTCGGTACATATGTCACAGGTTTTTCAGTGTCGTGTGTGTTGAGACCAAGGTCGTCTACGGCGAGTGTCGACTGTGATGAAGGTAAGTAAAATCATGATATCATCAGGTTAAAGTGTCGAGGAAAGAATGACAATGGGCGGACAATATGACAGATGCTGTCTCACCTGTGTGTCACTAAACGTATTGCGCGCCGTGATGGTCAATGTAAGCCATGACCCTACATCTCGCCTGGTCAACCAAGGGTCATTTAAGTCAAGGAGTCCTTGGTATATCGCCCCTTATTCTGAACTGTCTCCATAAGCATTCATATGGCAGCCCTTACAATGATAAACGCAACACAAGGATTGTGAAAACACACTCTACTCTACTAACTCTTCAGTACATCTTCAAATACAACTTCTAAGCTAGACAGACTCGTCGCAGAGTGGGAAAATGGACTGATGTCGTTTGGCCTCAGTCAACAGCAAAGGCCGCACTACTCTGCTAGTGTCATGGGTATCTTTCTAAAGTGATCGAACCTGACCTTTATTTGCCACATGTCATAATACATCAATTTGATTCGTTAAAACTAAATCTGACCATGAACTCATGTGTGTCGGAAAAATACCGGAGTCTTCGTGATCGGTTGAGCATGATGTTCTCAATCGCTTGTGTTTGGTAGTTCATGATGAAAGTGTTCGCTCTCCCAGCTGATGAACTGAATGACCAACACAGCATCGAAACAATCACAATGATAAGTCGGAAATCTCCTTTCTCTATCGATTCCCTTTTTAACCGAGACTTTCTGTCACCATACCTGTGTACAATGCAAGCTATCGGGAAGGTATTCAGCATCTCAAAGGTTTACTTTGTTACTATTTTCTAATGTTTTGACGATGCATTTTTACCTTACCAGTCGTGTTTACATGGATCGACGTTCAGTTCGTCCTCGAACGAACTTGTGTTGACCTCTTTACAATCCTTTCTTTAATATAGTACTGACACTGGTAGTGACAACCCCTGTGTCCCGTCATCATCCACTCACCAGGGGCCGTGAGATGGTCGTTGGGTGTGAGATGAAGGCGGTAGTCTTCTCCCAGGGCGTGTACTGCATAGATCAAGTCCCCCTGTTTTCCTAAAGGAGACTGGATGCCACGCCCACTAACGTGCATGGGGATTACGACGTCATACACAGGGACTGAAATACAAAATTGATTTGGTCGGAATGTGTATCTGCTCTTGCTTGTCATTCAGGGTATATCTCAATTTAACAAAAAGGGGCATGTGTCCTTGATGGCGCTCAAGGGGCATGTGTCCTGGTGGCGCTCAAGGGGCATGTGTTCTAGTCGTACTCTAGAGGCATGTCTTCTGGTGGTGCTCCAGGGACATGTGTTCTGGTCGTACTCTAGAGGCATGTGTTCTGGTGGTGCTCCAGTGACATGTGTTCCGGTCGTACTCTAGAGGCATGTGGTCTGGTGTTGCTCCAGGGACATGTGTTCTGGTCGTAATCTAGAGGCATGTGTTCTGGTGGTGCTCCAGGGACATGTGTTCTGGTCGTACTCTAGAGGCATGTGTTCTGGTGGTGCTCCAGGGGCATGTGTTCTGGTCGTACTCTAGAGGCATGTGTTCTGGTCGTACTCTAGAGGCATGTGGTCTGGTCGTACTCTAGGGGCATGTGTTCTGGTCGTACTCTAGAGGCATGTGTTCTGGTCGTACTCTAGAGGCATGTGTTCTGGTCGTACTCTAGAGGCATGTGTTCTGGTCGTACTCTAGAGGCATGTGTTCTGGTCGTACTCCAGAGGCATGTGTTCTGGTCGTACTCTAGAGGCATGTGTTCTTGTGGTGCTCCAGGGGCATGTGTTCTGGGTTGTACTCTAGGGATATGTGTTCTGGTGGTGCTCCAGGGGCCTGTTTTCTGATTGTGTTCCAGCGGCATATGTTCTGGTCGTACTCTAGAGGCATGTGTTCTGGTGGTGCTCCAGGGACATGTGTTCTGGTCGTACTCTAGAGGCATGTGTTCTTGTGGTGCTCCAGGGACATGTGTTCTGGTCCTACTCCAGGGGCATGTGTTCTGGTCGTACTCTAGAGGCATGTGTTCTGGTCGTACTCTAGGGGCATGTGTTCTGGTCCTACTCCAGGGGCATGTGTTCTGGTCGTGCTCTAGAGGCATGTGTTCTGGTCGTACTCTAGGGGCATGTGTGCTGGTGCTGCTCCAGGGGCATGCGTTCTTGGTCGTACTCTAGAGGCATGTGTTATGGTCGTACTCTAGAGGCATGTGTTCTGGTGGTGCTCCAGGGACATGTGTTCTGGTCGTTCTCTAGAGGCATGTGTTCTGGTGATGCTCCAGGGGCATGTGTTCTGGGTCGTACTCTAGAGGCATGTGTTCTGGTGGTGCTCCAGGGGCCTGTTTTCTGATTGTGTTCCAGGGGCATGTGTTCTGGTCGTACTCTAGAGGCATGTGTTCTGGTGGTGCTCAAGGGGCATGTGTTCTGGTCGTACTCTAGAGGCATGTGTTCTGGTGGTGCTCAAGGGGCATGTGTTCTGGTCGTACTCTAGAGGCATGTGTTCTGGTGGTGCTCCAGGGACATGTGTTCTGGTCGTACTCTTGAGGCATGTGTTCTGGTGGTGCTCCAGGGACATGTGTTCTGGTTGTACTCTAGAGGCATGTGTTCTGGTGGTGTTCCAGGGGCATGTGTTCTGGTCGTACTCTAGAGGCATGTGTTCTGGTCGTACTCTAGAGGCATGTGTTCTGGTGGTGCTCCAGGGACATGTGTTCTGGTCGTACTCTAGAGGCATGTGTTCTGGTGGTGCTCCAGGGACATGTGTTCTGGTCGTACTCTAGAGGCATGTGTTCTGGTGGTGTTCCAGGGGCATGTGTTCTGGTCGTACTCTAGAGGCATGTGTTCTGGTCGTACTCTAGGGGCATGTGTTCTGGTCGTACTCCAGGGGCATATGTTCTGGTCGTACTCTAGAGGCATGTGTTCTAATCGTACTCTAGAGGCATGTGTTCTGGTCGTACTCCAGGGGCATATGTTCTGGTCGTACTCTAGGGGCATGTGTTCTGGTCGTACTCCAGGGGCATATGTTCTGGTCGTACTCTAGAGGCATGTGTTCTAATCGTACTCTAGAGGCATGTGTTCTGGTCGTACTCTAGAGACATGTGTTCTGGTGGTGCTCCAGGGGCATGTGTTCTGGGTCGTTCTCTAGAGGCATGTGTTCTGGTCGTACTCTAGGGGCATGTGTTCTGGTGGTGCTCCAGGGACATGTGTTCTGGTCGTACTCTAGGGGCATGTGTTCTGGTCGTACTCTAGAGGCATGTGTTCTGGTCGTACTCTAGGGGCATGTGTTCTGGTCGTACTCTAGAGGCATGTGTTCTGATCGTACTCTAGAGGCATGTGTTCTTGTCGTACTCTAGAGGCATGTGTTCTGGTCGTACTCTAGAGGCATGTGCTCTGGTGGTGCTCCAGGGGCCTGTTTTCTGATTGTGTTCCAGGGGCATGTGTTCTGCTCGTAGTCTAGAGGCATGTGTTCTAGTGGTGCTCCAGGGGCATGTGTTCTGGTGGAGCTCCAGGGACATGTGTTCTGGTCGTACTCTAGAGGCATGTGTTCTGGTGGTTCTCCAGGGGCATGTGTTCTGGTCGTACTCTAGAGGCATGTGTTCTGGTCGTACTCTAGAGGCATGTGTTTGGTCGTACTCTAGGGGCATGTGTTCTGGTGGTGCTCCAGGGGCATGTGTTCTGGGTCGTACTCTAGAGGCATGTGCTCTGGTGGTGCTCCAGGGGCATGTGTTCTGGTCGTACTCTAGAGGCATGTGTTCTGGTCGTACTCTAGAGGCATGTGTTTGGTCGTACTCTAGGGGCATGTGTTCTGGTGGTGCTCCAGGGGCATGTGTTCTGGGTCGTACTCTAGAGGCATGTGTTCTGGTGGTGCTCCAGGGACATGTGTTCTGGTCGTACTCTAGAGGCATGTGTTCTGGTGGTGCTCCAGGGACATGTGTTCTGGTCGTACTCTAGAGGCATGTGTTCTGGTGGTGTTCCAGGGGCATGTGTTCTGGTCGTACTCTAGAGGCATGTGTTCTGGTCGTACTCTAGGGGCATGTGTTCTGGTCGTACTCCAGGGGCATATGTTCTGGTCGTACTCTAGAGGCATGTGTTCTAATCGTACTCTAGAGGCATGTGTTCTGGTCGTACTCCAGGGGCATATGTTCTGGTCGTACTCTAGGGGCATGTGTTCTGGTCGTACTCCAGGGGCATATGTTCTGGTCGTACTCTAGGGGCATGTGTTCTAATCGTACTCTAGAGGCATGTGTTCTGGTCGTACTCTAGAGGCATGTGTTCTGGTGGTGCTCCAGGGGCATGTGTTCTGGGTCGTTCTCTAGAGGCATGTGTTCTGGTCGTACTCTAGGGGCATGTGTTCTGGTGGTGCTCCAGGGACATGTGTTCTGGTCGTACTCTAGGGGCATGTGTTCTGGTCGTACTCTAGAGGCATGTGTTCTGGTCGTACTCTAGGGGCATGTGTTCTGGTCGTACTCTAGAGGCATGTGTTCTGATCGTACTCTAGAGGCATGTGTTCTTGTCGTACTCTAGAGGCATGTGTTCTGGTCGTACTCTAGAGGCATGTGCTCTGGTGGTGCTCCAGGGGCCTGTTTTCTGATTGTGTTCCAGGGGCATGTGTTCTGCTCGTAGTCTAGAGGCATGTGTTCTAGTGGTGCTCCAGGGGCATGTGTTCTGGTGGAGCTCCAGGGACATGTGTTCTGGTCGTACTCTAGAGGCACGTGTTCTGGTGGTTCTCCAGGGGCATGTGTTCTGGTCGTACTCTAGAGGCATGTGTTCTGGTCGTACTCTAGAGGCATGTGTTTGGTCGTACTCTAGGGGCATGTGTTCTGGTGGTGCTCCAGGGGCATGTGTTCTGGGTCGTACTCTAGAGGCATGTGCTCTGGTGGTGCTCCAGGGGCCTGTTTTCTGATTGTGTTCCAGGGGCATGTGTTCTGCTCGTACTCTAGGGGCATGTGTTCTAGTGGTGCTCCAGGGGCATGTGTTCTGGTGGAGCTCCAGGGACATGTGTTCTGGTCGTACTCTAGAGGCATGTGTTCTGGTGGTTCTCCAGGGGCATGTGTTCTGGTCCTACTCTAGAGGCATGTGTTCTGGTCGTGCTCTAGGGTCATGTGTTCTGGTCGTACTCCAGGGGCATGTGTTCTGGTCGTACTCTAGAGGCATGTGTTCTGGTCGTGCTCTAGGGGCATGTGTTCTGGTCGTACTCCAGGGGCATGTGTTCTGGTCGTACTCTAGAGGCATGTGTTATGGTCGTACTCTAGAGGCATGTGTTCTGGTCGTACTCTAGAGGCATGTGTTCTGGTCGTACTCTAGGGGCATGTGTTCTGGTGGTGCTCCAGGGACATGTGTTCTGGTCGTACTCTAGAGGCATGTGTTCTGGTCGTACTCTAGAGGCATGTGTTCTGGTCGTACTCTAGAGGCATGTGTTCTGGTCGTACTCCAGGGGCATATGTTCTGGTCGTACTCTAGAGGCATGTGTTCTAATCGTACTCTAGAGGCATGTGTTCTGGTCGTACTCTAGGGGCATGTGTTCTGGTGGTGCTCCAGGGGCATGTGTTCTGGGTCGTTCTCTAGAGGCATGTGTTCTGGTCGTACTCTAGGGGCATGTGTTCTGGTGGTGCTCCAGGGGCATGTGTTCTGGTCGTACTCTAGAGGCATGTGTTCTGGTCGTACTCTAGAGGCATGTGTTCTGGTCGTACTCTAGAGGCATGTGTTCTGGTCGTACTCTAGGGGCATGTGTTCTGGTGGTGCTCCAGGGGCATGTGTTCTGGGTCGTACTCTAGGGGCATGTGTTCTGGTGGTGCTCCAGGGGCCTGTTTTCTGATTGTGTTCCAGGGGCATGTGTTCTGCTCGTAGTCTAGAGGCATGTGTTCTAGTGGTGCTCCAGGGGCATGTGTTCTGGTGGAGCTCCAGGGACATGTGTTCTGGTCGTACTCTAGAGGCATGTGTTCTGGTGGTTCTCCAGGGGCATGTGTTCTGGTCGTACTCTAGAGGCATGTGTTCTGGTCGTACTCTAGAGGCATGTGTTTGGTCGTACTCTAAGGGCATGTGTTCTGGTGGTGCTCCAGGGGCATGTGTTCTGGGTCGTACTCTAGAGGCATGTGCTCTGGTGGTGCTCCAGGGGCCTGTTTTCTGATTGTGTTCCAGGGGCATGTTTTCTTCTCGTACTCTAGGGGCATGTGTTCTAGTGGTGCTCCAGGGGCATGTGTTCTGGTGGAGCTCCAGGGACATGTGTTCTGGTCGTACTCTAGAGGCATGTGTTCTGGTGGTTCTCCAGGGGCATGTGTTCTGGTCCTACTCTAGAGGCATGTGTTCTGGTCGTACTCTAGAGGCATGTGTTCTTGTGGTGCTCTAGGGGCATGTGTTCTGGTCGTACTCCAGGGGCATGTGTTCTGGTCGTACTCTAGAGGCATGTGTTCTAGTCGTGCTCTAGGGGCATGTGTTCTGGTCGTACTCCAGGGGCATGTGTTCTGGTCGTACTCTAGAGGCATGTGTACTGGTCGTACTCTAGAGGCATGTGTTCTGGTCGTACTCTAGGGGCATGTGTTCTGGTGGTGCTCCAGGGGCATGTGTTCTGGGTCGTACTCTAGAGGCATGTGTTCTGGTTGTGCTCTAGGGGCATGTGTTCTGGGTCGTACTCTAGAGGCATGTGTTCTGGTTGTGCTCTAGGGGCATGTGTTCTGGTGGTGCTCCAGGGGCATGTGTTCTGGTCGTACTCTAGAGGCATGTGTTCTGGTCGTACTCTAGAGGCATGTGTTCTGGTCGTACTCTAGAGGCATGTGTTCTGGTCGTGCTCCAGGGGCATGTGTTCTGGGTCGTACTCTAGAGGCATGTGTTCTGGTGGTGCTCCAGGGGCATGTGTTCTGGTCGTACTCTAGAGGCATGTGTTCTGGTTGTGCTCTAGGGGCATGTGTTCTGGTGGTGCTCCAGGGGCATGTGTTCTGGTCGTACTCTAGAGGCATGTGTTCTGGTCGTACTCTAGAGGCATGTGTTCTGGTCGTACTCTAGAGGCATGTGTTCTGGTCGTACTCTAGAGGCATGTGTTCTGGTGGTGCTCCAGGGGCCTGTTTTCTGATTGTGTTCCAGGGGCATGTGTTCTGCTCGTACTCTAGAGGCATGTGTTCTGGTGGTGCTCCAGGGGCATGAGTTTTAGGTGGTGCTCCAGGGGCATGTGTTCTGGTGGTGCTCCAGGGACATGTGTTCTGGTTGTATGCTAGAGGCATGTGTTCTGGTGGTGCTCCAGGGACATGTGTTCTGGTTCTACGCTAGAGGCATGTGTTCTGGTGGTGCTCCAGAGACATGTGTTCTGGTTGTACTCTAGAGGCATGTGTTCTGGTGGTGTTTCAGGGGCATGTGTTCTGGTGGTGTTACAGGGGCATTTGTTCTGGTGGTGCTCCAGGGACATGTGTTCTGGTGGTGCTCCAGGGACATGTGTTCTGGTTGTACTCTAGAGGCATGTGTTCTGGTGGTGTTTCAGGGGCATGTGTTCTGGTGGTGTTACAGGGGCATATGTTCTGGTCGTACTCTAGGGGCATGTGTTCTGGTGGTGCTCCAGGGACATGTGTTCTGGTGGTGCTCCAGGGACATGTGTTCTGGTCGTACGCTAGAGGCATGTGTTCTGGTGGTGCTCCAGGGACATGTGTTCTGGTCGTACGCTAGAGGCATGTGTTCTGGTGGAGCTCCAGGGACATGTGTTCTAGTCGTACTCTAGAGGCATGTGTTCTGGTGGTGCTCCAGGGACATGTGTTCTGGTCGTACGCTAGAGGCATGTGTTCTGGTGGTGCTCCAGGGACATGTGTTCTAGTCGTACTCTAAGGGCATGTGTTCTGGTGGTGCTCCAGGGGCATGTGTTCTTGAGTGTTCAGCTCATGATCTCGTAATTTCTGCTTGGTGTTTATTCTTCTATTGTCTGGGTGTGGTCTTATAGTGAAGGACTCCAGCTTGCCACCTAACAGGTCTCCATGTCGACATGGTGTTACCGATGATATGATGTATGTTTAGTGCTGCTGACCCTCCAAACTAAACCAATTACCATTATCTGCTGTGTGGGTGACCTACTGCAACAACCTGAGTGTGTTCTGAATGTCAGGTCATCTAATAACAAAATCAATAAGACTTTTATTACAACCCACATTTGGACTGAATGTTACAATCTAACAAAATCAACAATGAGCCTTTTTTAACCACCTGAGCCTGGTGTGACGACTTTGCGATGATGAAGAGGATGGTGACGACTACGAGATAATGATATTGGTGAGGATTTTGACAGTCTACATTCTCTGCAACCACTCACCTTGTTCTGCGTGACGGGTGCCGAAGTAGTGAAGCAGGTCCTCTGGCTCCATGTCCGTGTGAAACTGTAACACGTACACAGGCACGTCACAACACAGCTACACAGACACAAACCCATGTGCTAACACTCCCCATAGTATTGGAGATATTTACAAAGACCTGCTTAAATCACTATGGTTTTCTTCCAGTACCCTCATGGGATGCATTTGTTGAAGATGGCCGATGTAGAACTTAAAATACTTACTGAATATGATATGCACTTTTTTATTGAGAAAGGGCTAAGTATCACGTTAAAAGTATATCACGTTAAAGGTATATCACGTTAAAGGTATATCACTTTAAAGGTATATCACGTTAAGGGTATATCATGTTGAAGGGATATCACGTTACAGGTATATCACGTTTCAGGTATATCACGCTTAAGGTATATCATGTTAAAGGTATATCACGTTAAAGGTATATCGCTTTAAAGTTATATTACGTTAAGGGTATATAATGTTTCAGGTATATGACGTTTCAGGTATATGACGTTTAAGGTATGTTATGTTGTAGGTATATCACGCTGCAGGTATATCACGTTAAAGGTATATCATGTTAAAGGTATATCAAGTTAAAGGTATATCACGTTAAAGGTATATGACGTTAAAGGTATATCATGTTAAAGGTATATCAAGTTAAAGGTATATCATGTTAAAGGTATATCAAGTTAAAGGTATATCACGTTTCAGGTATATCACGTTTCAGGTATATCATGTTTCAGGTATATGACGTTAAAGGTATATCCCGTTTCAGGTATATCACGTTTCAGGTATATGACGTTAAAGGTATGTCACGTTGCAGGTGTATCACGTTTCAGGTATATGACGTTAAAGGTATATCATGTTGCAGGTATATCACGTTTCAGGTATATGACGTTAAAGGTATATCACGTTTCAGGTATATGACGTTAAAGGTATGTCACGTTGCAGGTATATCACGTTTAAGGTATACGACGTTAAAGGTATATCATGTTGCAGGTATATCACGTTTCCGGTATATGACGTTAAAGGTATATCACGTTTCAGGTATATGACGTTAAAGGTATATCAAGTTAAAGGTATATCACGTTAAAGGTATATCACGTTTCAGGTATATCAAGTTTCAGGTATATGACGTTAAAGGTATATCATGTTAAAGGTATATCAAGTTAAAGGTATATCACGTTAAAGGTATATCACGCTGCAGGTATATCACGTTAAAGGTATATCATGTTAAAGGTATATCAAGTTAAAGGTATATCATGTTAAAGGTATATCAAGTTAAAGGTATATCACGTTTCAGGTATATCACGTTTCAGGTATATCATGTTTCAGGTATATGACGTTAAAGGTATATCCCGTTTCAGGTATATCACGTTTCAGGTATATGACGTTAAAGGTATGTCACGTTGCAGGTGTATCACGTTTCAGGTATATGACGTTAAAGGTATATCATGTTGCAGGTATATCACGTTTCAGGTATATGACGTTAAAGGTATATCACGTTTCAGGTATATGACGTTAAAGGTATGTCACGTTGCAGGTATATCACGTTTAAGGTATACGACGTTAAAGGTATATCATGTTGCAGGTATATCACGTTTCCGGTATATGACGTTAAAGGTATATCACGTTTCAGGTATATGACGTTAAAGGTATATCAAGTTAAAGGTATATCACGTTAAAGGTATATCACGTTTCAGGTATATCAAGTTTCAGGTATATGACGTTAAAGGTATATCATGTTAAAGGTATATCAAGTTAAAGGTATATCACGTTAAAGGTATATCACGCTGCAGGTATATCACGTTAAAGGTATATCATGTTAAAGGTATATCAAGTTGAAGGTATATCAGGTTAAAGGTATATCACATTAAAGGTATATCATGTTTCAGGTATATCACGTTTCACGTATATGACGTTAAAGGTATGACACGTTGCAGTTATATCACGTTAACAGTATGTAACGTTGCAGCTATATCATGCTGCAGGTATATGACGTTAAAGGTATGTCACGTTGTAGGTATATCACGTTAAAAGTATGTTACGTTTCAGGTATATCACACTGCAGGTATATCATGCTGCAGGTATATCACGTTAAAGGTATGTCACGTTGCAGGTTTATGACGTTAAAAGTATGTTACGTTGCAGGTATATCACGCTGCAGGTATATCACATTCCAGGTATATCTCGTTAAAGGTATGTTACGGTGCAGGTATATCACACTGCAGGTATATCACGTTAAAGGTATGTCACATTCAGGTATATCACGTTAAAGGTATATCATGTTAAAGGTATATTACGTTACAGATATATCACGTTAAAGGTATATCACGTTTCAGGTATATGACGTTAAATGTATGCTACGTTGCAGATATATCACGCTGCAGGTATATCACATTTCAGGTATATCACGTTAAAGGTATGTCACGTTGCAGGTATATCACGTTGAAGGTATATCATGTTAAAGGTATATCACGTTACAGATATATCTCGTTAAAGGTATGTTACGTTGCAGGTATATCACACTGCAGGTATATCACGCTGCAGGCATATCACGTTAAAGGTATGTCACGTTTCAGGTATATGACGTTAAAGGTATATCATGTTAAAGGTATATCACGTTACAGATATATCTCGTTAAAGGTATGTCACGTTTCAGGTATATCACGTTTCAGGTATATCACGTTCCAGGTATATCACATTAAAGGTATGCATTCTTTCAGGTATATCACGTTAAAGGTATGTTGCGTTAAAGGTATATCACACTGCAAGTAAATCACGTTTCAGGTGTGTCACGTTACAGGTATATCACGTTAAAGGTATATCATGTTAAAGGTATGTCACGTTACAGATATTTCACGTTAAAGGTATATCACGTTGCAGGTATATCACGTTGCAGGTATATCACGCTGCAGGAATATCAGGTTCAAGGTTCTCATGACTTGCCACGGTGGTCCACGTGTGACGTAAACCATATTCGGTTGGTGCATCCACGGAATCGATACCATACTGCCACATTAACTGGTCAATGTCGTCAGTTTGGTGTGGAAGTGTAATGGTATTGGGCGGCTTTACAACTTGTGGGAGAACCCAATTCATTATTGTTATGACAACTGGAATGGCGTTAAACAACAAACAAACAAATTTTGTGCAAATGCAGGGATGAAACGTCACCTTGCAGCAGGGTAATGCCCGCCCACGATGAGCACGGGTTGTAACTTTTTGAGGCAAAAAAACATTGCTGTACTTTTATGGCCGGATGTTTCTCCAGACCTCTCTCCCAAAGAACATGTCTGGGATGGACGGACGCCTACGACAGGACCAAAACCAACCGGTAACGCTCGCTCAGTTGGGCCAATCTTTGGTTGACAATTGGAACAATTTGTGGTCACATCCGATATTGACATTGTTAACTGAGCTGTTACACCAACCCTCTTTTGCGGCGTATCGCTGTCTCGTGTTAGCAGGTTGGGGGTTTGTGCGTGATGTTCTTATCATGAATCATTGATCAGACGAATTACCAAATGTTTTATTGTTATGTTCAATAACATAACATTTACACCACTTTATATGAAACACATGTACTTTTTTCCGTCAGTATAGATCTGAGTTTTTAACATAATATTGTGGTATGCATGTTTGTCGAAATAAATTAAAACATGGACATATTAAAAAGTGAAATTTATATTCTACTACCTGCAGATGACACAAGAAAGTCTTTTACATCTCTTGGTAAATAATGTTCTGCCTACGTTTACCACTATTAGCAATTCTCCTTTTCTTAAGCAAAACAAACGTCTATATTCTCGACATGTTAGTGTAGAAAAATAATATTCAACAATTACCACGATTGATAACATTACTACAATCTCTGGCCCATGTGTTACACCACTAAGAGTGTCGAGATATTGGGAAATGGGGCATTTAGATATTTTTCATTAGATTTGACTTCCTACTCCCCGTCATAGCAGCAGTTAATTTAATGAATCTGATACAAATCAACTAAAAAACAAAATTAAAAAAGACCGCGAGGACAGACACACACAGAAAGGCTGACTCAGCAACATTCAGGAAGCAACGCAACATACAATGTTTTGCAAAAGAAAGCTTTGATTCAATTCTTAAATATTGATTATTTAACTACATTCTGAAATTTGATCGTAATACTAGAAATTGTATAGCAATATTGTTAAACGGTCCGGATCAATTGCCAAAATAGAAACACCTGTGATAATAGTCCCAGTGTTGTTGTATTATTAGGATATTACAAACAAATGAAATAAATATTTTGAAAAGATGAATGATGAAAACATATGTTAACATGCTTTTAACAGATGCAATGGCATAACACAACAATATCAACAACATGTAGAATGTCGGACATAGAATCCTCATGAATCGGATTATACCTCCCGGCTGATATACCTCTACGATGAAGCAGGACGGGGACGTGTGACTGGTGCCTCCCTTCCCTCGTGATATACCTATACGATGAAGCAGGGTGGGGACGTGTGACTGGTGCCTCGAGATCCTACCCTCGTGATATACCTCTGCGATGAGTGAGTGAGTGAGTATGGTTTTACGCCGCTTTTAGCAATATTCCAGCAATATCACGGCGGGGGACACCAGAAAATGGGCTTTACACATTGTACCCATGTCGGGAATCGAACCCGGGTCTTCGGCGTGACGAGCGAACGCTTTAACCACTAGGCTACCCGACCACCCCACCTCTACGATGAAGCAGGGTGGGGACGTGTGACTGGGGCCTCCCTTCCCTGCTGATATACCTCTACGATGAAGCAGGATGGGGACGTGTTACTGGTGCCTCCCTACCCTCGTGATATACCTCTACGATGAAGCAGGATGGGGACGTGTTACTGGTGCCTCCCTACCCTAGTGATACACCTCTACGATGAAGCAGGGTTGGGATGTATGACTGGTGCATCCCTACCCTCGTAATACACCTCTACGATGAAGCAGGGTGGGGACGTGTGACTAGGGCCTCCCTACCCTCGTGATATACCTCTACGATGAAGCAGGGTGGGGATGTGTGACTGGGGCCTCCCTACCCTCGTGATATACCTCTACGATGAAGCAGGGTGGGGATGTGTGACTGGGGCCTCCCTACCCTCGTGATATACCTCTACGATGAATCTGGATGGGGACGTGTGACTGGGGCCTCCCTTCCCTGCTGATATACCTCTACGATGAAGCAGGGTGGGGACGTGTTACTGGTGCCTCCCTAACCTGCTCATATACCTCTACGATGAAGCAGGGTGGGGATGTGTGACTGGTGCCTCCCTTCCCTCGTGATATACCTCTACGATGAAGCAGGGTGGGGATGTGTGACTGGGGCCTCACTACCCTCGTAATATACCTGTACGATGAAGCAGGGTTGGGATGTGTGACTGGTGCCTCCCTACCCTGCTGATATACCTCTACGATGAAGCAGGGTGGGGACGTGTGACTGGTGCCTCCCTACCCTGCTGATATACCTCTACGATGAAGCAGGGTGGGGACGTGTGACTGGGGCCTCCCCTCCCTCGTGATATACCTCTACGATGAAGCAGGGTGGGGATGTGTGACTGGGGCCTCTTTGCATGGTCTCTGTGACATAGATGTCTCAGATGATCCTTACTCTCAGCCTGGTCGTACTTGTGAGGCTCATTTCGCTATCCACTAGAATCGCAATAATATAAGTGTATGACATGCTTCTATCTGGTTTACAAACTGTAGTCAGAGTCAAATACACACTCATGTTATTTTAATGTTACGTGGAAATGTAGATTGATCTACTGTTGAAAATGAAAGATGGTTGGTTGTTTGGTTTGTTGTTTAACGCCGCACTCAGCAGTATTCCAGCTATATGTCGGCGGTCTGTAAATAATCGAGTCTGGACCAAACAATCCAGATCGATCCATGCAATTTGGATCGATGACATGCACCCGTTCCAGTTAGTCGCCACTTACTACAAGCATTGTCGCCTTTTAGGGCAAGCATGGGTTGATGAAGACCTATATTCTTCACGGGTCGAAAATGAAGGATGATTAATTGGTACATCAGTAGTTATATTATATATTTTAAGAATTGATTTAAAGAACATCACTCATATTTTCTCCTCAATATTCAATATTTTCTTCTTCTGTTTTCTGTTGTGTTACCCGATTTGCGTGTAATGGTTGTTCCCGAGTTGGAACGTTTATTCCCAGCTCGTGTCAGTATTTGACAATGGTGTGTATGGTGATGCAGATTACATAACGCTGAGACGTAACGCACTATGCATATCTCATATATCTGAAAACATAAATTCAGCAAAAAAATACCCACTATTGGTTATGGCGTCCTTATTACATTTTATCAGAGTCATTGTTTCAGGAAATAACCAGGGCAAATATATGACCAAAGAACACGAAAACATATACCTTAACACTTAAGGGGCTGCGTTCAATACCTGGTACACTCATCCACGTCTCTATATGTACTTTCACCGCTCTGGCTGAGGCCGATGTCACCTCGTCATGACGGGCCACGTTCCCCTCGATACACCCATTGACACAGGAGTACAGGACACACAGACACACCTACCTGAGATAGAGCGTCACCCCCACTGCAGACCACACACAGGAAACACACCACTGCTGGGCCGCGCATCTTGGGACCAGTGTCTGAATCGGGAGAGACCCAACAGCAGACTGACTCTTGTCCTGGCGCAGACACTTCTGCCTGGCGGCGTATCTCTGTCTCTCATCACCCACCCACCTAGCGACCCGGAACAGTCTTAAAGCTGCAGGGACCATGGTGCCACGTGTTCTGTAGAAGTGTTTAGGTTTTGCTGGTGACTAGAATTGTTTTCGTACAATGTCATATAGAAAGTGGTCAAATGTAACAAATGTTATATTTTGGCTAACTCTTTCTTAGTAAAGTACAGATTCTCGGTGGGTGAGTGGGTCAGATGGCGATAGATGCCTCACTCTGGCAGTGTGGGTTCGCATCTCGGATGGGACCCAACCCCCCAAAAGTACAAGAGTCTGTACTTTACTGAGAAAGTGTTATCCCAAATATGACATTTGTTAGAACTGTCTACATTGAGAATCGTGCTGCCTCTTGCTGTTGAATAGAACTGTTTACGTTTAGAATCACGCTGCATCCTGCTGTTTGACTGGAACTGTTTAGGTTTAGAATCATGCTGCCTCTGCTGTTGACTAGAACTGTTTACGTTGAGAATCATGCTACCTCTTGCTTTTGACTAGAACTGTTTACGTTGAGAATCATGCTACCTCTTGCTTTTGACTAGAACTGTTTACGTTGAGAACTACGCTTCCTCTTGCTTTTGACTAGAACTGTTTACGTTGAGAATAATGCTGCCTCTTGCTTTTGACTAGAACTGTTTACGTTGAGAACTACGCTTCCTCTTGCTTTTGACTAGAACTGTTTACGTTGAGAATCATGCTACCTCTTGCTTTTGACTAGAACTGTTTACGTTTAGAATCATGCTACCTCTTGCTTTTGACTAGAACTGTTTACGTTGAGAACTACGCTTCCTCTTGCTTTTGACTAGAACTGTTTACGTTTAGAATCATGCTACCTCTTGCTTTTGACTAGAACTGTTTACGTTGAGAATTACGCTGCCTCTTGCTTTTGACTAGAACTGTTTACGTTTAGAATCATGCTACCTCTTGCTGTTGACTAGAACTGTTTACGTTGAGAATTACGCTGCCTTCGCTGTTGACTAGAACTTGTTACGTACAGAATCATGCTGCCTTCTGCTGTTGACAAGAATGGGGAGGAATCATTACCTAATATCTTGCAAGAATCAGGAGTTTGACACAATATTGAAAGTATTTTCCATGTCAGAGGAGACTGTCTAGCTCCTGATTTGTTGTTCCATGTTTCTCAGCGGAAACATTTACACAAAGATATATTGCAGCATATTCAATATCTTCCTCTCAAGTACTTCCTCTGTGAGTATTTCACGTTTCAGCATTCTTCTCCTCCCTCTGTATCAATATAGTTGCAACATTGTAGATAATCTGTAACCGACACATTTCTTGTTTTCTTTTCGACCGCTCGACCGCTTCAAGCCCCTTCCAGTGGATTGTATGGGATGGATGTATATCTTAGACCAGTTTCCAGTGGATTGTATAGGGTGGGTGTATAGCTTAGACCAGTTTCCAGTGGATTGAAATGGATGGGTGTATAGCTTAGACCATCCTTCAGTGGATTGTAATGGATGGATGTATATCTTAGACCAGTTTCCAGTGGATTGTATAGGGTGGGTGTATATCTCAGACCAGCCTTCAGTGGATTGTATGGGATGGATGTATATCTTAGACCAGTTTCCAGTGGATTGTATAGGGTGGGTGTATATCTTAGACCATCCTTCAGTGGATTGTATGGGATGGATGTATATCTTAGACCAGTTTCCAGTGGATTGTATAGGGTGGGTGTATATCTCAGACCAGCCTTCAGTGGATTGTATGGGATGGATGTATATCTCAGACCAGCCTTCAGTGGATTGTATGGGATGGATGTATATCTTAGACCAGTTTCCAGTGGATTGTAATGGATGGGTGTATATCTTAGACCATCCTTCAGTGGATTGTATAGGGTGGGTGTATATCTCAGACCAGCCTTCAGTGGATTGTATAGGGTGGGTGTATATCTTAGACCAGTTTCCAGTGGATTGTATAGGGTGGGTGTATATCTTAGACCAGTTTCCAGTGGATTGTAAAGGATGGGTATATATCTTAGACCAGTTTCCAGTGGATTGTAAAGGATGGGTATATATCTTCGACCAGCCTCCCGAGGAATGTATAAGATAGGTGTACATCTTTTACCAGCTTCCAGTGAATGTATAGGATGGATGTAGATCTTTGACCATCTTCCAGTGAATGTAAAGGATGGATGTAGATCTTTGACCATCTTCCAGTGACTGTATAGGATGGATGTAGATCTTTGACCATCTTCCAGCTGACTCATAGAATGGGTGTATATCTTAGACATCTTAGAGAATCGATCCAAACTTGCGATTTGATCAAATCTATCTTCCCATTGAACACACGGGACACTGTGCGCAGTTCCCCATGATGGATGGTGTGGCGAGATCAATAATGGCCAGCAATGACAAACATGGTAGACATTTACACATGCACATTAGTCGTTTGATGTGCTCACTGTGGCGTCACACCCCATTAAGTTAGACATTTGGACACGGCTTTGGTCCTCAGATGTGTTGTCCTACTCCACAACACTTGCACATGACAGGGAGGAGAGGGTCAAAGGGCACTTGGGGGAGGGGAGGGGGGGGGGGGGCTTACGGGAACATTTGGATTTGGATTACGAATAGGATTTGGATTACCTTAGTAATGGGTCCCGAGATTCCAGATCGGGTGTGGTGTGTCTCACTCACTCACTCACTTACTCACTCACTCACTCACTCACTCACTCACTCACTCACTCACTCACTCACTCACTCACTCACTCACTCACTCTCACTCACTCACTCACTCACTCACTCACTCACCACGTCAATGTAACTTTATTTCTGTTTCAGTTAAAGTGCAAATTCCCTGGTTACCTGTGAAAACATTCAGAAGATGTCAAAAAGTTCGCCTCTAAAACCAAAACAAGCCACACAAGGCTGTACCATCTTGGTCATGAAATCCCATTACAGCCGAGATAAATGTGGGTTTAATGGCCAGCGCTGTCCAACACGCCAAGTGCCGAGTCCGCCAGACAGCTGGAGGGTCCAACACAGTGACAACATTCCGCGGGCGACGTGGCCAGCATAGCTGTGACCTCACCGCTAGATGCAACTCACGCCCAGCTCCTCTATGCACATACAGAATTACATAAGTTATCAATGATTACGATAAATACAATAATCTTCCTATTATCTATCGATGGTTCATCTAGCAACAGAGCTATTCCATTTGGGGGTTTAAACTCGCGTGTTGGAAGTATACCATCACTGCGTTGTAAGCGTTGCTTGTTAAGAATAAGGATGGGTTTTATTCCATACTGAAAGGACTCAGGCCCATAGCACAATTCTGTTTTCGGGAGTGGTTACAGATCCGTTTAACAGGTCATATTCTAATTAACATAGCATGATAAATGAACATTGATAGATGTGTTAGAGTATCTTTATCTGTTGTTGACAGGATCGATATAATTTTTTATTGAGTGGGATGTACATTAAAAAACAGATCAATATATTTTCTTCTTAGGTGGTCGTATTTTGAACAAAGTATCAGAAAATTTAAAACTCATCTTCACTCACATTTAAACCACATTGCTGACATATTCTCAATTCTCTGGCTCTGTTTCTGTGTCTGCCTACTTCGAGCTTAGGCCTAGGAGAGCTGCATCTACATTGTGCTGAACCTAGTCAACCTTTTTGGCATTTTAAGAATCGTGATCCAATACTTGAGAATTCTAATATGTTGAAATATGTAAAGTGGTACACGTCCACATTCACCATATACCATGACACTCGATGTACAGTTGTTAAACTACTGTTGTATAGCACACTGAAGTAGATGTTTGTTTGTTTTTTGTTTAACGCTACGCCCAGCAATAAATAATCGAGTCTGGACCAGATCATCCAGTGTTTAATATCATGAGCCTCGATCTACGCACTTAGGATACGACGACATGTATCAACCAAGTCAGCGAGCATGACCACCCGATCCCCTTAGTCGCCTCTCACGACAAGCATGGGTTGCTGAAGAGCTATTCTCTCCCGGATGTTCACGGGTAGTAAATGTTTGTTTTTTATATTGTTGTACTCAATAGCTGCTCGTTGTTAAACTGTTGTATAGAAACGTGACAAAACTGTTTCCATATTCATAAGAAATCTCTGCTAAAAACAGTGTCGATTGTACTATTCCGACTTTATCCTGAGCACGTGTTTATGAATCACTATCAAATAGTCATGGCACCAGGAATACGCGAAAAAAGTGAGCGTATCCTGTCGCAACGGTACACCCGTCACAAATACATGCAAAATCATGTCAATTGTTCACCTAAAAACACACGGGTGCATATAGTACTGTCTGGTATATAGAAAGTCCTTCCTTAAATGTAACATGGTTTATGGTTAATCGTATGCATGATTGTGGCAGATTTCTTCTTCAGTTGACAACATACTGGCCTTATCTGTGGCAATACTTGGCAACACTTATACCAAGTTCTTTGATCAACCAACTAATGTACTGATGCTTACATATAATGGTTTTGTTATTTGTCTTGTCAGTGGGAACAACAAACAACGTTTCATGTATGGCAGCGGAGACCATATAATAGATCTATTATATGGTCTCTGATGGCAGCCAGACTTATGACAGCTGGCTGGGACAGATATGGAATAGCTGCTTGTTGTATTTAGCTGCTTTTTTAAATCATCGAATTTTACAAATAAAACCACCTGAAAATATATCATGATTTGAAGTGAGATACTGGCAATACAGACAGTAAAATATAGCGGTGGTGAGACAAGGAAGTTCATGCTAAACGGCTTCCATTTCACCAGACTGAAATGTTGCATACAGTTGATAGAAATAGCGTTAAACAGTCAGGGCTCGGAGTTGCGAGTGATTTGGTCTCATTTGCGAGTGAAGTTTGAGAAATGCAACGAAATATTATAAAACACTTATCTCTTGGCGAGTACGGAAAAATCATGAATTTAACTCTTTCCAACACTGTAGGCCCGTACACCGGCCAAGA